CCCCCCCCCCTGCCCCAGGCGCGGGAGGGCCAGCGGGAAAGCTGACCCGCTTCGGCGCCGCAGTTGCTGCTCTGCTCTGGCAGTTGTGTGACTGCAAGTTCCGGGGAAGATGCCGAAGTGGCTGCTAACTAGTTTCCTTGTCCCCACGCCCAGCCGTGTTGTCTCTATCGGCATGCATCAGGGCTGGGCCGGGGAGAGCTCCATCCAGGTAGGCTCCCCACTCCCCCCGGCCCCCAGAGCACAGGTGCTGGATCTAGGAAGGGGGAGGGAGCGAGTGGGGTGCTGCCGTACCCATTGGTTTGAAATAGTTTCCAACATATACACAAGGTTTACAGTTTGATCCCAAGGCTCTCACCACTCTAACAGCCCCCCTGGAAGAGGGGCACCCTGCACAGTGAGGGAAGACTAACTGAGCTGTGTGCTCTCTCACAGGATTTCAAGGTGGGGAACCTTCTGGGGAAGGGCTCCTTTGCCGGTGTCTACAGGGCGATATCCCTAAAAAACGGCCTGGAAGTAGCCATCAAAATGGTAAGTATCACTGCTTCTAAGGTGTAGAGAGTAGAATGTGCATCTGCCAAAGTGACTTGCGCAGATGTAACTGTAGGCAGACATGTCACCTGAGCTCATTCCTGCCCTACTTTATCTATGCATACTCTTGAGAGTGTCTTCTCTCTTGCCCAACTTTTGCTTGTGGTTGCATCTCTAATTCTTTGGATTAGATTTAAAGTTCATAAATATCTTATTGAGGTGATATGTCTGATTGGGACCTTCATGCTAAGTATAAGTAGAAACACATGAAAGATTATGTCGATCATCAGCCTGTGTAAATTAGCATTTAATTAGAGCTATGACAATTTACATCAGCTGAAGATCTGGCCCAGAGTTCCTGCTTCTGAGTGTATATTCTAAGAGCCTGATCCTGACTACTCTGGTTTCAAATGAATGCCAGTGGCTCAATTCCCACAGAGCAGTCTGCAGGATGAGGACTTGAGTTTACAGTAGGCTTGCAGAACTACAGACAATAAATGTATTTTACTCATCTGCTAATATATATAATTATCCTTTTTGTGGTATTTTTGTGGTAATCATGGATAACAGATTTTGTGCTTGGGTTGGCTAATCTTGTGTGTGGGTGGGATTTTTTTTTTTTACTTATTCATATTAACAATTTGGAGAGACTTCTGCTAGAGTTAATACAGAATGTGTAGGTTTGTCTAAGCTTCTTTTCAGGTTGCATTGGAAATGACTATATATTGCATATAAATATTCCATGCAACCACACTAAATATTTCTTTCTTGTTTTATTATTGTCCTTTCAGTTCTTCTAGATTTGTATACTTGCTTAACAATCAAATCTGTCAGTGTTTACCACTAAGAACAAAGTGTTAAGTGCACAATATTGTGATTTTTAAAAAAAAAATCAAGTGAATTATCTTAAAATTTGTCTTGAAACTACTTTAGTTGGTATGTACATACTAAAACATTGATGTTTGGGGGGAAAAAAATTCTTTGGTCCCTTTTTTCAGATAGACAAAAAGGCCATGCACAAAGTTGGAATGGTACAGAGAGTTCAAAATGAGGTGAAGATACATTGTCAATTAAAACATCCATCTATACTTGAGGTAAGAATAAATTCTCACTGTTACAATAACGACTGCTGAATATTAAGGTAGTGTACAAAGCAGAGATGTTAATGTAACTGACTAACTGTTTCACTTCTAAGATGATGCTTATTGGTTAATGGTGTTGGTTAAACTCAGCTGGCTCCTAGAGAGGCAGCTTTGCTATGGCAGGGCAGCAAAGCCTTCTCCCTAGGAGCCTAGTGGGCAAGAGATTTTCAGCAGTTACATGGATACCTATTTAACCAACTTTTAATATCACTAGAAAATATTCTAACTGTTTTTATTTTATTTTCTAGCTTTATAATTATTTTGAGGATAGCAACTATGTCTACCTGATACTGGAGATGTGTCACAATGGAGAAATGAGCAGATATCTAAAAAACAGAATGAAACCTTTCTCTGAAGAAGAAAGTGGGTTTGGTTTTTTTGTTTTGTTTTTAATAGAGTGATATTCTAAGTGTTTTGCTTATACAGGCAGTCCCCGGGTTACGTACAAGATAGGGACTGTAGGTTTGTTCTTAAGTTGAATTTGTATGCAAGTCGGAACTGGTACATATTGTAGGGGAAACTCTAGCCAAACATTTCTCCAGAGCTCAGTTTTATTCTCCTACACCTCACTTCCCTTAGTCCTTTATTCTCAAGCTGAGGTGTCTGCTGAGAAAAGCTGCTCTGCGTCTCCCTGGTCTGCTGTGGGGGGTGCTAGCTTCACGTCTCCCTGGTCTGGTGGGGGGAAGCAGCTAGTGCGGGGTTGCCTCACCCCGTTTGTAAGTAGGGATCTGATGTAAGTCATGTAACCCAAAATTCTCTGACTAAAGTTCAGTGTTTCATTTTAATCACAAGCATGGATTTTTGAGTGTGGATTTTTTTTGTTTTTACATTCCTAGCCACAATATATATAGTTAAATAGAAGTCAATGTCTTATTGATGTATCCAATAGAGATGTGAGTAGTTGACTACTCGATGAGCCTAGGCTTATCAGGTAGTCAGCTCGACTACTCACATTCCCTTCCCTTGTTTTCTCTGTATCTAAGCAGTAATGGGGGGAACAGAAGTTGTTCGGGGGTGGGTGGGTAGAAGAGCAGATTTAAAAGCTGGTTATCCCCAGTTTCTGTGTTGTACTGCCCCATACTACATTTAAAATGCAGAGCTGCAGCAGGAGTAGGTCCCAGACCTGACACGAGCCAGGTCTGAGTGCCTTCCCTTATTGACTAATCATGTAATCAATACAAATTACATCCTTAGTATACAATAGAATCCCAATTATTCGATTCTCCATATTAACTAATTCACGAGCCACCCAGGGCCCACAGTGGCCGTGACTCTGGCAGTCAGCTCCCACTGTTCCCCATGTTAAAATAAGTAATAGAAAGCTCTTTATTCCAATTTCTGCTCATCTATTCTGGTCCTGGTCTGAATTAGATTGGATATAAGGGGCTGTACTGTAAAAATTAAACTTAACAAATAGTTTGGTAGCACTTTAAAAAGTAACAATACATGTAGATGGTATCATGAACTTTTGTGGGCACAGCCTACTTCTTCAGATGACCAGTGTATTGGATGTCCAGGACCAAAATAACTCTGGTCATCTGAAGAAGTGGGCTGTGCCCACGAAAGTTCATGATACCGTCTCCATATTTTGTTAATCTTTAAAGTGCTACCAGACTATTTGTTGTTTTCTTAATCTGTACAGGGTAAACTTAACTTGGCTATTCCCTGAAGCTGTAAAATTAAAGTGTGTTCAAAAAATCATTATAAAAGGGAGAAGGTTGTGTCCTTTGAATAAGTGACAATATTTCCTGCAGAACTTAGTTTAGTTAATGTTTCTGTTTTTACATTGAGAAAAAATAAAGATTGTATTATCACCAGTTCTGTGGTTCCCCCCACCCCTCCACATGGATAACTGTTGTCTTTGATCCAGCCATATAAGTCATTGTGTTAGAAATAAAATAATAAATCTCTTACCTTTTTATAATCTTTGTTAAATTACAGTTAGTCTGAACTATGACTCTTCAAATTTGTCACTTTCTTACTCCACAGAACTGTGCCCTTGTATAAATCTGAATTACATCTCCATGCATTAAAAACATTGGGACAGTCACTTTATTTTTTGCTTTTCCTATGGTTGGTTCCACCCTCCTCCAATTTTTGATACTGCAGATTCAGGGCAGGTCAAAAAGTGGTCCACTCTAGTCTTGTTAAATAATTCTAATAATGTTGCACAAGTTCTGAAGTGCATTGAAAACAATGTGGCTGTCCATATGATACTGAAGGCCTGAACTGGCTTGTTGAACACTTTGTTACTGATAATGAGTGATACATTGGATGGAAGGAAAGAATCCACGTCAAGGTAGCAGGGCTAGCGGTTCAAAATAAAACACACCCTCATATACTTGTAAATTGTGCACATTTCATATGGCTATCATTGAGACAAGAAACACTGCTTACCATGTTACGAGTCTCTCTTGTCAGAGTAGGTATACACATGGAAAAACCAGTTTTGTTGGTCTCTTGAATAGTGGCTCAAGACAGATGTTGTTGTACACTTGAGGATTTTTTTAAAGCACTGAAATACCCATAAGTGCAATTCATTGTCTTTCACTTATTAAAGCATCACATCATCCCTTATAGATATCAGAGAACGGACTCAGGAGCCAGAATCAAGTGATAGAACCGCTGCAAAATAAAACACTTTTACCAATTTGAAACAAGCTATTTTAAAAAATACTGTCTGCTAGATACAGAGCAGTCTCTTCTGTGGAGTGGTGCCTTTAACAGTACAATTGAACATCTCCCCTCAATTTTCTTAAGGAGTACGTCTAGACTGGCAAGATTTTGCACAAAAGTGGCTGCTTTTGCGCAAAATCTTGCCTCCTGTCGACACTGGCCGCAAGTATTTGCGCAAGAACACTGACTTTGTATTGTACAAAATCAGTGGTTCTTGCACAAATACTCCGACGCTCCCACTCAGGGATAAGCCCTCTTGCGCAAGAGGGCCAATGGAGACAGCCAAGTTAATTTCTTGCACAAGAAAGCCCGATGGCTAAACTGACCATCAGAGCTTTCTTGCGCAAGAGAGCGTCTACATTGGCACTGATGCTTTTGCGCAAAAGCAAATCTTTTGTGCAAATGCACATGCCAGTATAGACACTCTCTTAACAGAAAAGCTTTTCTGTTAAAAGTATTTGCGCAAAAGTATTTGCGGACAATCATGCCAGTCTAGATGCAGCCAAGGTGTTTGCCCTCTCCAGACTCCTAAGGGAGGAGTTGGAAAACAGATTGTGGGAGGAGGGGGTGAATTAAGGGAGTTGGCCAATAAGCTAGTTTCTGCAATTTGAAGGATGGTAGTTAGTGTTGCTTTCCAACCAATATGTCTTCAGGTGGGAGGCAGAAGCACTGAAGAATACAATACATCCCTGGGATGAGCTTACCAAATTTAAAATGCAGATCTTTTCTGAAGGTAACTCCACTGTTCCCAGTGGGATTGCACAGGTGCAACAGATTGGAACTTTAACATGATTGATAAAATACAAGTGAATGTAATTCCTCTTGTGTTGGCTCTGCAGCGCTAATGCAGGAGTTGAGGGTGGTACACACTTACTTTTCTCACTGAGTCAGAAGAATCTGCTGAATAAGATCCTTCTTTTATGTTGTCTTGTAGAGTAATACTTACTGAAATTAGAGGAGGTCTAACGATGAAGCTGATTTGTATAAAGTACACTTGGGAATACTTCTGGGTGGTTTCAGGATAGAAGGCTGCCTCGTAAATGTAACTTCACTGTCTTTAGAATAACTTGTAACTTTTATTCTGTGTGCTTCAAGCACTTTGCCAAGAGTGCATCACATACACAATTAGGAAGGGTCAATTTCTTGAGCTTTAATAAGGGCTGGTAATTGAAAGAAAGTGAGAAGAAATGTTCATGCTGTAATGTGTATTGGATGGGAGATGGTTTAATGGTCATCTGCCTCAGCATATGCCATAAGCTGATGTTGCCATAATCCTAAAGCAGTGGTACAGGATGCTATTTCAGTCTGCGTAAAGCTTGAACGCATTCAACCCTCTTATTCTAGACTGGGGTGGGGAAATTTTGGGGGGGCAGGGGCCACTGACCCACAGAAAAATCAGTAGGTTCCCACACAGTAGGTTCTGAAGTGGTCTGTGGTCCAATAATTTTTTCCCACCCCTGGTCGAAGGGGACCCAGGTTAGTAGATTTTTGTGTGTTCCAGCTCCACAGGGGAGTGGCAGCGTTAAGAGTGCCAGAATGGGCTCCCCAATGCTGTGGGTAGAATCCTGAAGCCTTGAGGGCCACGTCTAGACAAGCCAGGGACTGCATATGGCCCCCAGGCCTGAGGTTCCCCATGCCTGTTCTAGATTACAGCTCTTGTTCTTTTCTATTTGAGCGAATAGTCTCAAATTTTAACTTTTAAATTAGTTTAGTGGGAGGAAGGATGGCTCAAGATTATTTGTGTTGATTATTGATGACATTTGTACCAACTTATTACTGGTCTGTTACATTATGTCCAAATACCTGGTCTCTTGTATATGTAACCTATATATTGCACAAAACAGATTGGTTCTAGGAATTTGCTCTATAATGGTATCTTCTAGCGAAGTTGTGGGTGTGGTGTGGTTTTTTTCTTTTGTTTTTGTTTTTACTTTTCATTTGTGGACCCCTAAATTTCAAATCGAGTTATGGATCCCTTTGGAAATCTTAGATGTAGTCTGTGGACCCCATGGATCACAGGTTGTCAGTACCATAGGATGGTGATTTTTTTTTTCAACCTTTCACAGACCCATTAGATATAGTCTGTGGATCTCCCAGCAGTCTGTAGATCACAGGGTAAAAGTCACTGCTCTAGGGCATTAAAAAATAAAATCACTGCCTCATATTAACTTATCAAAGTATCTACAGCCTGTTATAAATATTTTCAATTTGTATTTAAGTTTTTCCATTATTGCATATATGAGATTCAGTGCAGTTTTGTACAGTGGCAAATGAACAGATATGATTACTGGATTACAAGAGCCATTACTATGTTTCATAAATTTGCCTCAGAAACAAGTAGTCTTGATATTCTTTACTACTAAAATGCGAATTAAGTGTATTAATTTGGCCATAATAAATAGGCCCGATTGGGGCAGATATGATATATTAAAAGGCATGTATTGATGTTTGTTTCAAATATTCTGCTAAAACCAGGTCTTATATTTTTGTGTTCTAACAGCACGACACTTTATGCATCAGATTATCACGGGGATGTTGTATCTTCATTCTCATGGAATATTGCATCGGGACCTTACCCTTTCTAACCTTTTACTCACCAGTAATATGAACATCAAGATTGCTGATTTTGGACTAGCAACACAATTGAAAATGCCAAACGAAAAACATTATACAATGTGTGGAACTCCTAATTACATTTCTCCAGAAATAGCCACACGGAGTGCACATGGACTTGAATCTGATGTGTGGTCTTTGGGATGCATGTTCTACACTCTCCTAATTGGGAAACCACCTTTTGACACTGACACAGTCAAGAATACATTGAATAAAGTAGTATTAGCAGATTATGAGATGCCACCTTTTTTGTCAGGGGAGGCTCAAGACCTTATACACCAGTTACTTCGCAAAAACCCAGCAGATCGTTTAAGTCTTTCTTCTGTGCTGGATCACCCTTTTATATCCAGATGTAACTCAGCACGAAGTAAAGATTCAGGAACTGTGGAGGATTCAATGGACAGTGGAAATGCCACAATCTCTACAGCCTTTACTGGCTCTTCAAGTGTCAGTATAAGTGGTTGCTTGAAGGAAAAGAAGAGGCTTTTAGTTGGTCAGCCGCTCCCAAATAAAATGACTCTATTTCCTAAAAATAAAAATTCCAGTGACATTTCATCTGTGGGTGGAAGCACTTCTTATAATCACTGGGGAATTCAGGGAAAAGAAACTGGCATAAGTGGTAGAGGAAGAACTATGCAACTCTCTGAAGAGAGGCCACATTCACGTTATCTTCGGAGGGCCCATTCTTCTGATAGGTCTGGTACATCTCACAGTCAGACACAAGGAATAGCAAATGCTGTGGAGAGATGCCATTCCATAGAACTGCTTTCAACGACCAGAATAGGAGTGATGGAAAATACAGAAAGATTTTCACCTGTAAACAGCTATGGTGATATTCCCCCTATATTTAAAGATACAACTTCCTGCAGTTCTGGTTCTTTTGAAAGACATACATCTCCATCTGTGAAAGACCAAACACAGTAAGAATCAGTCTAATTTAGAATTGGCAGATTTAAGATAAAATCTAAAAGAGCTATCTATTCTATTAAATGTAAGGATATTAGGAGGGTGACTGGGTAATTGTGCAGTTGATACAATCCATTACAAGATTAGTTGATAAGGGAAGGCCCTCAGAAGAAGCTTCTCTTTATATAATATGTAATAAGAGCCGGGCACGCAGCCAGCCTGGCTTCTACTACATTTAAACTGCAGAGCCACAGTGAGAGTAGCTCCTGGACCTGGCACGAGCTGGGACTGAGCTAGGCTCATTTAGTCCCAGCTTGTGCTGGGTCAAACAGCCATTGTCCAGGGCTAGCCCAGGTAGTTGCGGGCAGCAGCTGCTGCCAGAGCAGCCCCTGTCTTTGGTGGCCAGAGCTGGCAGTGGCCAGAGGCTGCTTTGCAGTAACAGCTCCTGTCTGTTGAGGGAGCGGGGTCCAAACTCCCCGCTGGGACCCTCTGCAATCAGGAGCAGCTTCCCCTGCTCTCCCTTCCCTACGCACTGTTGCCTCTGATGGGGGGGAGCAGCGCAACTTTTAAGCTGGCTCCATGCAGCATCGACTCCTGCTTCCCAAGTACCGGCTACTTCTTGCCTAGGCTTATTGGGTAGTCGATTAATCGACTACTCTTTTATATCCCTGGTTAAATGCACAAAATCATGGAATAAGCTACTTAAATTTGTCAGCACAAATGCATTTTCTGCTAGCGTTTCAAGAAATTAGGGTCCCATTATGAAGGGAGGAGCAAGTTTTGACTGCCGAAAGTTCTGGATGCCCAGTAGGGGGGAGGATGTGAATGCTGCCCAAGGGTTGCAGGGAGTGGAGGAAGAAACCACTAGGAGTACGTCTACACTGCACAGCTATTTTGAAATAAGCTATTCCAAATAGCTTATTTTGAAGTAGCATATCTACACTGCAGGGTAGCCTCAAAATTAGTTTGAGGCAGGCATTCCTAATGTATACATACTATCTTGATTTAGAGCCCCAGGAGGCATTGGGGAGGAATAACTTAGAATGGCCCTAGTGAGGGGCTATTTCAAAATAGCAGCAGTGGAGTGTCTACAAATACTTTATTTCAAAACAGCTGTTTTGGAATAGGCGTTATTCCTTGTACAATGAGGTTTACAGATTTTGGAATAAGCCTTCTGTTATTTTGAAGTTTCAGAATAACAGAATGGCTGTGTAGACACTCATATAGTTATTTTGAAATAATGTTAGTTATCTTGAAATAACGGTGCAGTGTAGATGCAGTCCAAGTGCAGTGTTTAAACAATAGTCATAGAATCATAGAATAATAGGACTGGAAGGGACCTCAAGAGGTCATCGAGTCCAGCCCCCCACCCTCAAGGCAGGACCAAGCTCCGTTTACACCATCCCTGACAGATGTCAATCCTCTGCATGTGCAAGTTCCAGGTTCTAAGAGATGAGAGCCCTGGTTAGTTTGAATGGTCTAATTTCAGTTAACTTCTATTATAAACGTATGTATTTTTTTTTTTTAGACTACATTGATAGAAGTACTATCTTTTTTCTACTGTATATGCTGGATGCTCATGTCCCATGTTACCTAGAGTTTTCAAAACTTCACATGTTTCTCTTAGCGCATGCAAAAATATTCTGCTATTGTTTCTGCAACTGGAATAGTATTAATCTTAGTTATACAAACATACAGTATAATCTTCTTTAGATGTGTAGCTTTTGTGATTATAAATTAATTAAAAGGACCCTTCTGTAAAAATATATTTTGCTTTAGACTTAGTAGTCTTTAAATATTTAGCTTTATTGTTATGGAAACACTTACAAATATTTCTGTATATTTAGCTCAAATTATCTCTGTCCAATGAAGCCCAGCATTGGTTTATTAGAACAGAAGTCCCAGACTGAAACAATGCAGCAGTGGCTTGGAAGTGTTCAGACAAATGGTATGAATTACAGAACGTTGTTTTTTTTAATTCAAGTTTGCATAACCTGTACAAACTAAGAAATGCTATTACTTGCCCTAGGCATGTAATTGCTTACTTGTCGGTCTTAAGGTTTTTTACTTGTGATAAAAGGGACCTTCCCTGGTCCAGCAAGCTCCCTCAGCCTATCCCGAGGTTGCCAGAGCAGGGAGGTCCAACCAATATTACACAATAAATTAGACATTAAATAGTTCCATGCGGGGGGTGGAGTCTGCGGAATCCTAAAGGAAATATTGGAAGGTACTTAAAATAACTAATTATTGTAGTGTGTTTTTATGCTCCTTTCACTATTTAACAAGTTTTTTAAGCAGATAAATCCATTGTTTATTAAAAGGATAGTAAATAGTACAAAATTAATAGTCAAATTGTCTAGAACTCTGAATTGAGGTCCTCTCCATTATTGTTTTGATTTTTCTCATTTGTTTTACTAATAAAAACTAACATCAACTGAGATAATACAGAACGTTCTAACCCTTCGTCATGGTTCACTTCTAACCAGAAGCAGAACAACTCTGTACGCATTTTAAATGATGATTTGAAGTGTGAAATATAACATTTTTTAAAGCACCTAAGTCCGCCTCACTATTTCCAATTGAATTTAAGTTCCTGAATGTGCCACTTTTGCTTTTGAAAACTTTTATTGTAACTTCACTATTTTGAAGACATTGTAATGCCATTCTTTTTGAATAATATAAAAACATTTGGGTATGAATATAGAATATGAAAGACAGATGATAACGAGGGCTGCAGAAGGCTGGGTGGAAAGAAAAACAAAAGGCACAGAAGGGAAGGAGGAGTTTTTTGCCATGCATTATATTACATCGTATGTGCAAACTGTACATAATAAAGATGTAATTTAACCAAGAGGTTTAAATAACAAAAAGCACTCCTTTTTCTTTGTTTGATATTGCCAGACTCCTTTCCCTTAAGGGAATTGTAATCGGATTATGTATAATTGGAATTCCTTATATAACCTTCTATTTTTGTGGGTGCGCGCACTCTCTCTTTTATTCTTTTTGCATTGCTTCTATGTGGTGGCAAAAAGCATGCATTAATTGTCTGAGCAAAGCAGAGAGAGCTGAGGTTGATTAAATATTAGCCTCATTTAATCAAGTGTTGAAAACAATCTGTTCCCTTAGTTGAAAATGGGGGAAAATACAGACCAATGATTTACACCTAGCAGTGTAACCTAAGTTTCTAATCTACCCTTTTGTTGAAGTAGAACACATATAATGTTGTAAACATATTTTTTATTTTAATTTTGCAGTGGCGAATTCAGATGTTCTATTTGTTAGTTTATATCTAAAATAGAAAACCCTTCCTACAAAGTGCATTTGAGAGGTGTTACTACAACATAGAGCTTGCTATGTTGTAATTTCAGTAAAACTCACTAGTACTGTTAATAGTATTACAAATATTATGTAAGTGGTAAATTAACTATTTCTTTCCAATGAGGGAGATTGTTTGATTCCTGTTTTTTAAATTAAATAAATATTTAGAAGTGTACTATAGTGGTATAATTTGGAAACAAGTTTTTCAGAAATGCTGTTTCAGTTGAGAGATGCTGCACCCAATATATTTAAAAGTCAGTGAAAGATACATTAGTCACACAGAGTTTATTTTAAATTGTATTGGAGTTCAGTACATCTTTCCAATTGGAGAGTCATTTTATTCTGGAATAAACTAAAATGACATTGTTACATCATAGAAATTTTACTTAATACTGAGGACTAAACCAACCTTTCTTTTTCAATTACTTAATTTTTTGAAAAAAAATTACTTTGAACTAGGGATGTAAGCGACTAGTTGAGTGACTACTTGTTTCCCTTCCTTGTTACCTCTGTATCAGAGGCAGCAAGGTGCGGGGGAGCTGGTGCTGGGGGGAGCCGACTTAAAAGCCAGTTCCCCCCCAGCACCATCTCTGCAGTGCAGGAGTGGTGGGAAGCAGAACCATAGTAGTCCCAGTCATGTCTTGCACTGCCCCCAGTAGCCAAGCTACTGTAGTAGGAGCTGAGCTGCCTGCACACTTGGCTCTTCCTACATTTGAACTGCAGAGCTGAGGTGAGGGTAGCAAGCAGCATTCCTTATTCAATTAATTGTGTAATCGATACAAATTGTAGTGACTACATGATTAGCCAGTTACCCACTCCTTAACATCCTTACTTTGAAATAGGTTTTTTTCTACATATCCCTTCCCTTACTCCCCAAGAACTGAGAAAAATCTTCCAAAGTAATGAAGTTCTTGAACCTCTAACATGAACTCTCTTATGCTATTTTTCAGCTCAGCTGAAAGAACCTCTGGAGCACATCAATACTGATAATGCAAATGGAGGTTTCAGATACCATCTAGGTGTGCAGCAAGAAACATCAAGGAATGCCTGGAAGAGCTTAAAAGATAAAACAAATCCTAATGTTCCCATTGATAGTGCACTTTCTATAAAGCAGATCCATACAAAGAAATACACGTCTGGACTTCAGTGTATATCTGACAAAGCTCAACCAGCATCTGCATTTGGTCTCTGTCCAACTTCAGAACAAGGAAAAACCAGGGGCAAAGAATTATTAGGACACCAGAAACTTACACTGCAAAGTATTGTCTCTCCTCTGAATGCTCACAGGCTAAAGTCAATCAGACAAAAAACAAAAAATGCAGTGGTGTGTTTGGTTTTATTTATTTATTTATTTATTTTTGAGAAAAAAAATTGGTTTATGGACTAAAACAAGTGCTCAGTAAAATATGTGCTTACACGCTTTCTAAGATGTATATTAAAAGAAATAGTCAAAGATTACTTTAGTATGCAAAAACCTCAGTCTTTGTATAATTTAATACCATTACTGATGTTTGACACAAATGTTGTGTTGTCTTATTCTGATTTTACAAGAAAAAGAAAACTACCACTGGCACAAAGCATATAGAAAACGTGTCTATTTTTAATAAAAGTATTGGGAAAATGTACATTTAACTTTACCTTGTTTTGACTATTAATATGACCAAATTAAAATATTGTGTTAGCAATTTTAAACACAAGCATTTCTCTTTAAGCTAATTACCATATAAAATAAAGCACCGAGGAGTCCTATGGCACCTTATAAAGTGTTGGAGCATAAGCTTTCGTGGGCAAAGACCCACTTCGTCAGATGCCCACGAAAGCTTATGCTCCAACACTTCAGTCAGTCTATAAGGTGCCACAGGACTCCTTGCCGCTCTTTAAGCTATGTATCTTAATTGGAATGGAAGAGAATAGTCTTGCTCATTCTCATACAAACACCTCTGACTTCCTTCCTCTTTGCTTTTTTTGGTCTTCATTCCTTAAAAAAAATCCAGTCCTTGCTTATCGCACTTTCCAGTTTTTCTCATTGTTGTCTCTTTGCCTTTGTTTCTCTTACTGCTTTTTCTATTCATCCTTCCTTTGTTCTTTCTCCTCCCATAAGGTGCCACAGGACTCCTTGCCGCTCTTTAAGCTATGTATCTTAATTGGAATGGAAGAGAATAGTCTTGCTCATTCTCATACAAACACCTCTGACTTCCTTCCTCTTTGCTTTTTTTGGTCTTCATTCCTTAAAAAAAATCCAGTCCTTGCTTATCGCACTTTCCAGTTTTTCTCATTGTTGTCTCTTTGCCTTTGTTTCTCTTACTGCTTTTTCTATTCATCCTTCATCTGTTCTTTCTCCTCCCTTCCCCTACTCTTTGAAAATGAATTACGGCTGACCTGCCTCCAAATTTCTGATTGGTCACTTCTGGAAGCCACACACTTTGCTATATAACTCTTTGTTCATGCTGAATAAGGATTAGAATTGTCCTAAATGATAGCATTACCAGTACAAGTTACTTCAGGGAACACAATACCAGCTGTTTATTTGTAATATCACTGTTCATTTTTTATTATGAGTTTGTTGTAAACCAGGAGAGGGAGAAAACAAATACTCCTCTGAAACAATTGTCAGGGGAAAAGTTAGTGTCATTTGGACAAGAAATTAAATTTTAACTTGTCTTTTACTTTTATATATATTTTAGGTGAGTATTCTAGATACAGGAGAAGTTTGTATGGAATTTCTAAAAGAACTCCATTCCCAACATCTTGTGAAAGAAGTTCTCAGAATATCTTGTGATGGAAGTGTGGTGAGTAGTAATTTAACTTAAATTGAGCATTTCTATTTATTATAAATATCAAGTGACCTATACCATTAAACTATTCAGTATATTAAAAAATGAAAGTGATAGCTTTTAGCTATATTAGCCTTAATTGTATCTGTTCTGAACGCTTGTTATCCTTTAGATAAAAGTTGAATATTTTGCCTCAAGGATGGGAGTGCAATTGCAGAAATTTTCTTCTTGGCTAGTACAGCCTTTCAAATGCAAGTAGCAAACTGATTTGTTTCTGTTTTAAAGAAAACAGACCTCTGATTTTTATTTTAAAGCAAAAACTGGCTACGTTGTTAGTTGAAACCCGCTGAAGTAAATTAAAATTTCATACATAGAGAAATAGTTAAGCCTTGAATTGTGTAACTTCCACCTGTAACTTTCTGAGGAGGAATATTGTAATATATGGTATAACAATATAACTATTGGATTTTTGTTAGATCACAGTTTATCATCCAAATGAAGGAAGAGGTTTCCTTCTTGATGATGCACCTCCTTCTCCTCCTGAAGATGTCCTTATGTACAGATTTGACAACTTGCCAGGTAGTATGAAACTTTTGTTTAAAAAATAGGGAGATGAAAAGTGTGGCTTTTGATAAACTTTGATCGTGGTAGGAATGAGTACTAGTTCAAATAGTTCATGTTGAATACAATGGAAAAAAAGCTTCATTTAGGAGCAAGACAAAAACTAGAGCTCTAATTGAAACATCTCTTTTGAAATATGAATGGTAGGTAGTATCCTGGTCTTCATTTAATGACTTGCTTATAAGAAATCAGACTTGGCCTATACTATACCATATGGGGGGAGGGGGTCAAGTTTGAGGCTTTTAAGACTTTTTTGGAATTCAGTGGTCAGAATTAAACTTGAGAGGGGGAACTGGTTTCCAACTAATCATCAGACCAGGCACCCTAACATCTACCTTCTTTGTGGCCCTTGTTAAACATATTGACCGTGTGTCTTTTTCCAAGAATTCAATGCGGTACATCTCCATCTATAATAACTGAATACAGTATTTTACTGATTAGCAGCTTACATTTTATGTTAAAGATCATTCACCGAATTTACAAAAATCATCTTCAAAATATTTATAAAAGGTGTGTCTCTCTCTTCCAAATGTAAATAAATCGCTATTGTATGCTTTAAATGATATATGAATCTACAGGAATAACATATTTTACACAGGCCAGTACAGGATGTTCATATCTAACTTTAAAAAAAATCAGGAGTGAGGCATTTAAATAGCTCTGTAAAATATTATTAGGTAAGCTCTTAAAAGCTGATTTCCGGGCCCCTCACCCCCCACTTCCAGCTAGCGACAATAACAGATTTCCATAAACAAAGTTTTTAAATATTTTTTTTTAGAAAAGTACTGGAAAAAGTACCAGTATGCAGCCAAATTTGTACAGCTAGTAAGATCCAAAACGCCAAAAGTTACCTTCTATACAAGATATGCAAAGTGTATGCTGATGGAGAATTCACCCGTTGCAGATGTCGAAGTTTGTTTTTATGACGGTATGTAATCATATGGACTATCTTAGGCTTTTTATTGTAGCAATTAAAACTTTTATTAGCAAAGCTGTAGTGAAATCCTGGTGATCAAACAGAAACCTTGTGTAAAATCAAACTTTATTACAAAATTTTGTCTTCGGAAATGTTCAGCATTTTTCTTAATTTAAAAAGAAAAAAGTATTAGAAATTTTTAAAGTACTGTATATATTTTAGCATTTTGTCAATTGGTCTTCATCCTAGCACACACAAGACATTTAAATACAGTTAAGTTACAAAGTATGCTAGCTCCAGATTCAGTTATCCAGTGTTTTGAGCACATACCACAAGAGTGGTATTAAACTACCGCCACGCTCTTTGTGGATCATCTTCCTCCTGACTTGAGACTTGGTTCTCATTTTAAATGGATAAATAGTGTGCCTGTTCTTAGATTTTTTTTTTCTGTCACTTTATTAAGAAATATTTTTTTTTTTTTTTTTTTTTGGTAGAAATCTCAAGAACAGGAGATCAATCATATCTGTAAGTTACTCACAAATAAAGTAAAGATTTCAGATCAAATTCTTTTCTGGTGTAAATAGGCAAAGCTGCTTTCCAATACAATTACTTAAATCTTAGTCCTTCCAAAGAAATAGTAGTACAGTAAAACTCCATTGGTCTGGCATCTGATGGTCTGGCACCATCAGGAACCCGGAAGTGCTCCGGGCAGCTGGACCATTGGAGCTGCTCTGCCCCCGGCTTCCCCGATTCAGCCGCGGCTGAATCGGGGAAGCCGGGGGCAGAGCAGCTGGAGTGCTGCTGGTAGGTCCCGTAGCGCTGCCCCTCGGCGCTGCGGGACCAACCCGGCAGCACCCCAGCTGTCCCCGATTCAGCCGCTGCTGAAACTGACCAGCAGCGGCTGAATCAGGGACGCCTGGGGCGGGGGGGGGGGGATGCCACCCCAGACCCCTCATGGACCCTCCCTTCCAATAGTCCGGCATAGCTGAAAATCTGGCACCCCCTGGGTCCTAAAGGTGCCGGATTATCGGAAGTTTACTGTAATTACTTTTTTCTTAAATATGTAAGAACACAAATAGGTCCGTATTCAGGTAAATTTACTTCACTTCTCAATAGCTCTGTTGAGAAGAACAAGTTCCTGTTTTTGTTGTGTTTAAGTTGCCCCTTTCATTTCATTAAGACAAATAATGAATACAGTAAAACTCCAGTTGTTCGGCATCCAGTGGTCTGGCACTCCCGATAGTCTGGCACCAACTGGAACCCAGAAGTGCTATGGCCCTCACCTGAACGGCGCTGCGGGACCAACCCAGCAGCACTCCAGCTGCTCTGCCCCCTGGCTTCCCCAAGCCCGCCGCTGCTGAAACTGACCAGCAGCGGACTTGGGGAAGCCAGGGGCAGAGCTTCCCCAAGTCCGCCGCTGGTCAGTTCCATCAGCGGTAGACTTGGGGAAGCTGGGGGCAGAGCAGCTGGAGTGCTGCCCATGCTGTGCAGTTCCCCGCTAACCCTTCTCCCCCCTCCCTCCCAACCCCTCATAACCCCTCTTCCGGTACTCCGGCATATCCAATAATTCGGCACCCCCTGGGTCCCAAAGGTGCCGGATTATCGGAAGTTTACTGTACATTATTCATGTGTTTCATAGTTGGAACACAAAGGCAATAACCAGTAATATTTCGCTTCATTATCTTGATGTCTTGAGTTGGAATATCTTCAACAGTGGTTCTCAGCCTGTCTAGGCTACTGTACACCTGATTTGTCTTGTGTACTCCAAGTTTCATCTCACTTAAACTACTTGCTTACAAACTAATATATAAAAAACAAGTGGCACAGCACACAATTACTGAAAAATTGCTTACTTTCTCATTTTTACCATAAAACCTACTTTATATTTTGAAAAGTGAGTTTGTTTGAGGAAAATAGTCATACTTGAATTACCTACAGATAGCACATTTTGCATAAACAATCCTGCCACTTAAATTAGCTGAATGCACTACTTTTTACCTCAGAATATGCTGGGTGAAAGGTTTCAATAATAATTTTTTGTTTTTATCAGAAACAAGTCACGACTATAATAATTAGATTTCATAAAAATATTTGCTAATAGTTAAAATAGGGTTGCCTATTCAATTGTCATTTTAGTGCCAAGAAAATTTGTATTGTTACAAAACTAATGTGAATTACAGAAAGAGTAATGGAAGATTTACAAGTTTGATTCAAATGTACTATATATGGTAATTCAATAAAAAGAATAATGTTTGAAGTTGAAATCCTAAAAATTAAAAATCTATTGTTTTACTTCCCTGTTGCAAACACACTAATAATTCTATTACATATATATAATTTATTGAACCTTCCATATCTTGTACATTTCAAAGGAGGAATGCGGAAGAGCCCATCGACTAGTGGATGGAAATTACACTGACTACTCAACTAGTAAATTACTCGATATTTAACATCCTTATTTTACACACACACACACACACACACACACACACACACACACACACACAAGCAGTATCTCTCTACCTGGGGTTGTGATTCATTTTGTAACTAACAAGGTGTTGATTGGGCAAAGTCATTTTGTGTAGATTACACTTAGAAGATAAACTTAAGCAACAAATGGTCTGGTAGCGCTTTATAGACAAAACATGTAGCTGGTATCATGAGCTTCATGTGCGCGGCCCACTTCTTCAGATGACTGGAGTTTTGAGTTTAGAATGTGCAGACCCAAAAGCACATCCTAAACTCAAAACTCCAGTCATCTGAAGAAGTGGGCCGCGCACATGAAGCTCATGATACCAGCTACATGTTTTGTCTATAAAGCGCTACCAGACCATTTGTTGCTTAAGTTTATCTTCTAAGTGTAATCTACACAAAATGACTTTGCCCAATCAACACCTTGTTAGTTACAAAATGAATCACAACCCCAGGTAGAGAGATACTGCTTGTGTGTGTGTGTGTGTGTGTGTGTGTGTGTGTGTGTGTGTGTGTAAAATAAGGATGTTAAATATCGAGTAATTTACTAGTTGAGTAGTCAGTGTAATTTCCATCCACTAGTCGATGGGCTCTTCCGCATTCCTCCTTTGAAATGTACAAGATATTTCAAAGGAGAAATGCAGAACTCCATGTGTAGCCCAGGGCCAACAGGAAGTCCCGCTGACTCTAGGCTGCATGTGGGTGTGCCAGCTTTGAAATATACAAGAGTCCCCAGCAGGGGCTCTTGTGCATTTCAAAATAGAAGCTCCCTCCTGGAGCTTGGGGTCAGCAGAGGACTCCCCCAGCTGATCCTGGACTCCATGCAGCATTTTCCCAGAACCCGAGGTCATTTTCCCCAGAACCCAGCTGACCTCAGGCTCCATGCGGCGCTGCTGCTTTGAAACGCCACATGGAGCTGTTTTGAAACGTCACTATGGCATTTCAAAGCACCAGGTACAGGCTTCGTGTGGTGCTGCTGTGCTTTTGAAGTATCCTCTCTTTCAAACTCCCCCTTTTGCTGTCATTATCTGATAGAGGCAGCAAAGTGAGGGGCAATCGACTAGTCAACTTGACTATCCGATAAGTATTTGTTTATCGGATAGTCGACTAGTCCTTAACATCCTTAGTATATAATATATAGCAGTATAAACAAGTCATTGTATGAAATTGTAGTTTGTACTGACTTTGTTATGGCTTTTCATGTAGCTTGTTGTAAAACTAAGCAAATATCTAGATGAGATGATGTACCCTCCAAAAACCTCTCTGAACTCTCAAGGGTACATAGACAGGTCCTGAACCAAGGGTATAACAATAAATGTTTAAGTAATTAAAGGTGAAGTAGATATGCTGTGTAATCTGGCTTGGATTTCATATATTTGTTCCTGTGTCTTTTTTGAATGCACAACATTTGCACAGGAACTATATCTAATACCAAATAGACACTAATACATTTATATGTTAACATTATAGTTGACCTATTTAAATTGCTTTTGATTTCTAGTAGATTCAGAGTTCATTTTGGAGTGAGTTAAAGGAGCTGATGTGATTCTCTTTGCAACAAGTCTTAAATGTGTTTTCTTGCCAGTTAAGACAATTTGTGAAGGAATGTAGATGTAATCAGGGCTTGACAAACGGTGACGAAAGCCACTCACCAGCCCTGCACTGCGCATGCGTGGGAGCTGCATGCGTGCGCCGCCAGTAAATGGGGCGCCGGGCTGAAATCTACTCGCCACGGGCAAGTAGATTCAATAGTTTGTCGAGCCCTGGGTGTAATAATTAACTGTACTTTTTAGCTATTGATATTTGAGAGAAATAGACAACTTTGTTTTCTATAGGGGCAAAAATACACAAGACATCAGGTATTATTCGAGTGATAGAAAAATCTGGAAAGTCTTACACTTTGAAGGAAGAAAGTGAAATTGGCCTGAAGAAGGATATACAAGTATATATGGATCATGCAAAGGAGGTAAAGATTTATTGTATTGACACGTGAGTCAAAGTCCACCTCTAAACTTATAGCCTTTTTCCATCGAAGTTGGCTCCTACTCTATTTTGTATCCTTTTATTGCTTACGATTCTCTTTTTGTTGTTGCTTTAAAAAAATGCAATCAGACTGTATTTGGATAGGTAACTTTTATTGTAAATTAAAGATAATTGTGAAAAGAGCCTCTTGTTTTTTCTGCAAAGCAGTTTTGCAGATATATGAAGGAATTTCATTATGAGAAAAACACTGCTAATCTTAATAGAATACTAATTTATCAACCAACCTTCTAGGCTCTCCCTTTCAGGCCTCTTGTCTTCCAATAAGCAGTCAAGAATAATCACACCACCTATCTATAGGCTTAAGAAACCAAGAAGACATATCTACTATGTGCATTTCCACTCTCTGTCCTCATTTTACTGCAAGCTTCCTGGACTAGGATCCTGCTTCTGTCTTGCTTAGGCCTGTGAGAAGTGAAAGAGGGGATGGCATGGACTCTGGATCTTGCTCTATGGGGCACTAAATGTGTGTCCATACAGAGTCTGATGCAAAGTCTCTTGAAAGTCAGTGGAATTCTAGCTAACTTCAGTGGGCTTGGATCAGGTGTATGGGGAGTGAGCACTTTTGAACTAAAGCAGAATGAGTTGAGCTCCCCCTAAAGGCCCAACAATATTTTTCTATCAACTGCAGCCTTGTCCAAACCAATTTTCTCTGTGCCAGTAAGACTTAACAAGGCTGCTGCAAACACCAAGCACACCCATCACATTGCAAATAGTCTTTTACTGATACTTATACAGCACTTGCATGTTCTGAATATAAACTCACTTTTTTCCAAAACCAGGGACACCGTATTTGTCTTGCATTGGAAGCTGCTGTTTTGGAAGAAGAAAAAAGGAGTGAAAGTGTTCCTTTTTTCCCCATAATTGTTGGAAGGTAAAGTTTATTTTTAATTGTAACAAAACTAGATGTATGTAAACACTTAAATTTCTGGTTTAATGGTCATGCCATTGATATAAAATACAATTAGATTGCATACAGGTGAGTTAAAGAAATCTAGGTCAGAAGATGTTGAACACATGTGAACTTCGAAATTCTTAATTGAATGGTACTGTAGAGTAGGTATGTTAATCGTGTATTTGTGTAAACATTTAACTGCTGAACATTTTTAAGCTCTTACACATTTACACACAGGAACAGGGATGGGTGGGAGCCACTGCTCGTGGGGAGCCGGCTTTTAAGCCATCTCACCGTGTTTACCAGCTCCCACCTGCCTCCTGCATTGCTACCTCTGAAAGAGAGGCAGCAATGAGGGAGGAGGAGGAGGGAGCAGGTGGCTCCACGGGGAAAGCTTCCTGCGTGTATTGGCAGGAAGGGGATGTGTGTGTATAACCATTAGGATTAACTGATGAGCCTGCGTTAAACGACTCCAGGTTTCTTGACAACGTCTGCTGCATTTTTATCTGAAGTAAGGACATTCACAAAGACCTTTATTTTTTGTGCTATTTTTAATTTCCAGGAAGCCAGGTAACACTGACTCTCCAAAGGCTTTGGCACCTCCCTCTCCGCTAGTGGGTGTAAACTGCACAGCGAGCGATACTATCTCAGTGGATAGAAGTACAGTTGTGAGCTCTACTCCTAGTCATGCTCCCAACATAAATCCTTCTGTAAGTAAACAAGTATGTAGACTTGAGGCTTGCAGTCTAGTTAGAATTCAAATACACTAAAATTACATTCAGATACAAAGGTATTTTTTTTATGGAATTAAACTGTGTGCCTACCAGATTAGATTAGAAGCACAGTTAGATTTATAGAAATTGACAAGCCAAGAAATTGCAACTTTTGATCTTCAACTCATTTGTTCTGCTGAGGTTTTGTAGGAATCTGAAAGACATGTCATGCAGTATCTAACAGCAATATTAGTATAGAGCAGTTTGATACTCTTACTTAAAAATTATTTTGCTAAACAGAAGTATTTTAATTACTGTAAAGTACTGTGGAAAAGCTGTCTGAGGCACATTCTGGTTTGGATGTGCTGGAAATGTAACACAGGATATTAACAAGCATTCAAACTGTGGTTCTGGGACATAACATCAAGGCTTTTTAACAGAGTGTACTTTGTCAAAAGTGTCTATAAAAAGCATATGTCTAGCATGTCAAAAGGCCCAATAAACTTCAGTAACTGAATCAAAAAGTGGTTGTATCTTGTTGCCTTTTTCAAATGTTTGGTAGACACAAATGTTGCGCACTGAGAGATTCAAAGAATAAAAACAACTTGGAATATTCTTCTCTTCTGTTAGTTTCTCTTTGTTAAATTATCATTCTTTTAATTAATATGGTCTGAAGCCTGTTTATGGAGTAGAGTCACTGCAGTTGTAACAGTAGGACACTCTCTAGTAAAGGGGAAATAGGCTTAAGTAGAAGGGGGAATCCGCTATCTCAAAGTACTTAAGTGGTAGAACAGTGTTAGTCCTTTAGTTGAGAGGATGAAAAAATACAGTAGAAAAGTATCACTTGCTGGTTTGTAACATATGCAAGCTGTAAAATAATTGAAGTACTAGGATGACACACATAGGAGACCAGGAATAAAGGAGCATAAACATCTAAAGTTTTTATTAATAAAACTGTAAGTGATCATGATCTTATCATTAGTAAGGACAATGGTTTTGTGCATTTCTTTGTGTTCTGTTTTTAGATATCATATGAAGGCTCTGCGTTCACAGCTACCATTCCTGAAACAGTCTGCTTCTCCAATCAACAAAAGGACTGTAGTCCAAATTCCGCCCACCTTTTAAAGTCTGTCTTTGTGAAAAATGTTGGTTGGGCTTCTCAAGTGAGTAGTAAATTGATAAAGTAGAGAATTCCATATTTTCTTGAACTCGAAGTATATTTTTAAACTAGAAATAATGAATTTGGAAAATGTATTTAATGTTCACTTTCAAGCAGGGAACACAGAGTAAGTCTCTTTAAACTACAGTTCTAGTCACTTTTTGAAGGCAAATAGGTTGGAAGGTACAAGAAAAGACAGGATGAGGGAAGGGAGGCTCAATATGAATAAGAAAGTAGTGTCTCAAGGCTAGGTGTCTATCTTAGTAGAGTAGTCCAGGTGCCCTACTTACCAAAGCTGAGCTTTAACTACCTATTCGATAATACATTAATTCCTTTCTCCTGTAGTTTTATTTATTTTTATATCCATATCCACTAGTTCTAGTTTTTTTCATTAACAGGCTCTCTTCTAGAGTGGGGTGTGTGTGTGTGTGTGTGTGTGGTAGCAGCCCAATGTCTGAGACTCTAACGCTATAGTATTACGAGTCACTTCTGGGGGGCACTGTTGCCTCATGCTGTGGTGCTTGGCTGAGTTCTGCGCCCCCATGCTGCATGGGAAGCACGGGGCCCAAACAGCCGCTTGCTCCTCTGCAGCGGCATGGCTGAGCGCCGCAGAACTCAGCTGAGCGCCATGGCAGGAGGGGAAGGGGACGGGGCGGTGAAGTACATGGCCCCGCGCGTCAAGAGGGTAGGGTAAAAAAAACCCAGACACGCTTGATTGGGAGTTGGGCTAGCTGGAAAGAGGGGAGGGGCCAGAGGCAGCATAGCTGGCCAGGGGAGAACGGGGGAGGGGTGGCCAGTGGGAAGCAAAGCTGGTCGGGGATGGGCGTCGGGAGCAGTGAGGCTGGCTGTGGGAAATCGGGAGGAGCGGGGAGAGGGAATCGGCTGGCGGAGAGCCGGACTCACCCGGGTGCATGCATCCCCGACGGAGACAGAGGAGAGCGGAGAGAGAGTGAGAGGCAGGAGACGAGAAATGGAGAGTGAGAAGCAGGAGGGAGAGCTGAGAGAGACAGAAGGCTCAGGAGAGAAGATTGATGTGGAGGAAAGACCAAAAAATCCCGTCTTATGATGGGCTAATTGGCGTGTGTGTGTATATATACATATATGTGTGTGTGTATATATAATATAGAATAATCTCCAACTGAAGTAGTAGAGTCAACAAATACTAGCCTTTTTAAACAATCAGATGGGACTAAGTTAACAAACTAAAGGGCTATTGTTAATTTTTGTGCTTGTCATTAGTTGGCTATTTTGGAGGATGAATTAGGAGGGAATTTTCTATTCCTGCATGTGTAGTTTCTTTATGGTCTTTGTGCAAGAGTTTGGGGGGAGAGGGGAAATTTGTCATCATCCAGACATCATGAATTTGAGACCCTTCTGGTCCTAAATGAGTCTGTAAATTTGTATAGTAAATTGTCTAATCGTACTACATACTACAGAACCAATAGCCACAAAAACCAATCTTGTATTAGTTTTTGTGCAATTCTTAGCCAACTGTAGCACTACTAAATTTAAGAGTAAAATTTTCTAAAGTCCCTAAGTCCCATTTTTCAAACCTGCTTAATCCCTTTAAAAGACAATAAGGCTTTTTCTTCTAGGTAACTTAGGCACGTCTGAAAATTTTACCATAAATGTCTTAAAATAAGTACAGTGAAAGCTTTAACTGGCATTGCAGCACTGCCAGCTGACATCAGCAGACATCCCCCTCAGCCTATTCTAGCACTACCTAACCCGTTGCTTAAGTATCTGGCACATTCAGTTACCTGGAAACTAGCATTCCCCCTGAGTGCCAGATAACAAAGCTTTCACTGTGGTTATAATGTACACTTTTTTAAAAATTAATTGAAGTTTTTCAAATTGTAATAACTTTGGACACTTATCTTATCAGTTGACTAGTGGAGCAGTATGGGTTCAGTTCAATGATGGATCCCAGTTGGTAGCACAAGCGGGTGTGTCTTCTATCACTTACACATCTCCAAATGGGCAGACAACAAGGTGAGTCTTAATTCTATAAGCATGTACGTTACATTCAAATAAAACGAAAATACAAGACTCTTCAATGCAAGATACTTTGCAGTTGTATATAATATTGACCTTTCACAGTTTGTGTATTTTTCAATTCCTACAAATGTTAACTTTGATTACTACATTATAGTAGGCAAAGAGCTGCTTTTAATTTCCTTATATGGAAATTTTCCCAGTCACTTGTGTGTGTAGATTAAAAAAAAAAAGTTTACTAGTATTGTAATAAAAAAAAAACACACCCTACCCAAAGCGTGTACAACTTCATGTGTGTTTTGGCCATCAAATAAGCATAGGAATAACATATAGGAAAATTATCACGGGTCAGCTCAGGCCAAGATGGGAATGCATTCCTTTCATATCTCACTTTTGATACGTGATAGTTACTTGTATTGCTTACTCAGGGACTACAGGAAGCTTTAATGAAAAGAACTCTTATCTATCTTTCTGAAACCACATCCACAATTTACAAGTTCAGGGAATGCCCTAGTAAATAACTACTTTGAGTGAATGGACCAGCTGACCTTTTAACAGCTGATGTTCTATTTTGAGTCTCAAGTGACTGTAGCAAATATTTTATTGCTATTCAAAGAAAGTATGAAATTCCTAATGCAATATCAGTTTCGGTATTATATGGGCAGTTAGCTGCTTAACTTTTTTCACATAATTTGTATCCGATTATTACATAATTTACTCTACAACCTGGAACACAAGAATTCTACACCCAAATTCATATACAAGTACTAAGGGCATGTTTACACTAGGAAATTATTTCAAAATAACTCCCAAAATAACAATTGCTAAATAAGAGTTATTCCTCATTTCAAAATACAGTAAAACCTGTGTTATCCAGTACTCTTGGGAATTAGGGCATTCTGGTTATCTAAAAATTCTGATTATCTGAGGGTCCCATCAACCTAGCAAAAACCAATGGACAATAATAGTAAAACTCAAGCTTTTAATATTGATATTTTTGTAGTACGAGGCAGTTGGTCTTTCATTTCTATTTTGAGTTGAAGATAATTGGCTTAATTTCTTATTTAAGTACTAAGCATGATAAACCAAGCCAGGCCTGTGCACCTGAAGATGTGACAGTATTGTGGCTGGAGGCAATGCCAGTTAACAAAGTTTTCTGGTTAACAGAGTGCCAGATAACAAAGGTTTCACTATAGTAACTCCAGCTTTTCATAACTGGGTTGGTAGAGTGGATGTTCTGCTTACGGCTTCAAAATCAGTGTAGACCAGAGCTAAGTGACTTAACTTCAGAGAGGCTGAGAACCCACAACTCCTGAAACCAGGTTAAGGATCTCTAGATGTCAATTCAAGTTTGAAAATGTTTTTAGTCTTTAGTATTTTAATCTATTGAAATCGTATGGATGTTCTGGGCATAGAAATTGCTTTTGTTACTTACCTGTGTATCTTTCTCCACCTGCTAGGTATGGAGACAATGAGAAATTACCAGAATACATCAAAGAGAAGTTGCATTGTTTGTCTTCAATTCTTGTGATGTTTACCAATCCAGCTGGCCCTCGCTGACTAACATAAGGCAATTCTTTGGGCATGAAGGCTTAATGAATAACTTGCTGGCATTCAAGTAAAGTGACTGATTTATTCAGTTTACCACTCATAGTTCAGAAATTCTACTGGCTGCTAAACAGCAGGAAGGAAAGCCCATCATTTGTGAAATACATCTTTCAAATCCTGTAATATTTTCCTCGGATGACACAAGTGTTCTGCACGACTGATTCTGGGCAATCTCTGAGACTTAACCCATTATTTTTCAGGAATTCTTTACTTGAAAAATCAATTGGAAGTGTACATAAGGTTTTTGTATGTGTTTTCCCCACTGCTTAGTAGTCAATACTAGCAATTAAGGAGAAAGTATTTGTGCTATTGAAATATTTGTTACCTGTAAATATTTTATGTGGCTTACAAGTAATATATGTAAAAATATATTGTTTTATACTTGTTTTATATTTTTGTAGCAACAGCTTCTAATGAAATTTCCCTGCAAAAGCATTTTATATATAAAAATAAATGCAGTGGTAATTGTCCAGATCATTTGGTTTATTTAATGAAAAAGTTGTCTAAAGCATTCTCAGATGGTGACACACTGAGTAAAAGGTACAACTTCAGTTACATTCTGATACTGAACAACATCCACGTGCATATCGTCTGAATTTGGCCCACTGAGTCCAAGGGTGTATAGGGTCTAGAATAATGTAGCACTATATTATACAAATGTGAGGCTTTCTAGGCCATGCCTTCTAATTTGCATACTGATAGTGGAAAAATTCAAGTTGTGCCTACTCAGAATCGTTATCTAACTTGTACTTTGTTTGGATATAGATCTCCTCTGCATTTGGCCTCCTGCTCTTGTGCTGAATTGTATTCTTAAGTTTGCTGAAGGGAAATTTTCAAAATGTTGTAAGTACTACATCAGTCAACTCTTGCATTGTAAATGCTGTTACACAGGTTGACTCTCCCAAATCTGGGACAGTGGTCTGGCAACATGCTGAAGTCAAAGCCCCAGGAGTGAGAGCCAGCTGGGAGAATGCAGGATCTGCAGAATCCTGGCTAGTCCTGCAGTGGCTAGGCAGGGAAACCCTTGGTGTCAGCAGAGCCAGGTGGTGTTGGGGAGCCTCCATCCTGGCCAGGCAGCTGGAGAGCACCTGGCAGCAGGATCGTTAGTGGCTAGACAGCTGTGGCTGGAGAAGTCCTGGAACTCCCTGGGAGCAGTGGACAGGAAACCCCCGGTAGTAATGGGGCTACAGGAGCCCTGGGCAGCGGGGCCAGGTGGCAGCAGCGAAGTCCCAGGGGGCAACAGAACCAATGGCAGTTTGAGAGCCCCAGAGAGAAGGTGTTGGCAGCAGGGCAGCCAGTAGGGGAGCACAGACCTCCCCCAGTCCAGCAAGCTCTCTAGTCTAGGACAGCTCATGTCCCAAGGGTGCCAAATGAGAGAGGTCCAACCTGTAGTTCAAAATATAGCTAGAGTTAGGTTTTTCCCTATATCAGACAATGCACGTTCTGGGATGTGTGATCTAAATCAGCCATTTAAGTGGAATCAGAGCACAATTCTGTTTAATTTTTTAAAATATAAACATACTACTTTAGTGTCATTTTAATTTTAGTTGGCAACTGTGGCACAATGAATTAGTACACAAAAAATACAGGAACTTTATTTTTGAGTCAATAATAGATTCTTAAAATGAAGTAATAAATATTTAATTGCACCTTTTAGAACAGGGAGAACTTACTGATCAAACTTTCTGCTTAGTACCAGAAAAAGCAGCAGGTGTCTAGATTTACAAGTGAAGACTTTTTAAAGTGGGCAGGATCTCAAAGCTGCTAAAGAAGAACAGCTTTAACTTATCTACTATAACTGTGGAAATGGGTAGATGTACTGATCTCAGATCAGTGTCAGTAAAATAAAGGAATATTTGAAGTAATCAAATTCGTGTGAATTCAGCTCCAGCTAGGGTGAGTGGCCTAATATAGTAACCTCTTTGGGATAAATTCAGAGCTTGCTCACTGTTAGTTTGTCATGAACTAAGTTTTAGAAATGATTTCTCAAACAGAGGTAGATTAAAGTAAATCTACCTTATGAAGTAAAATAGGTGTGTCTATACTCAGTCACATGTTCTTCACATGAAAGGGTGTCCCATATGCTTGTATGGGGGTGTGCAGAGGAGGGATAGAAGCCCTAAAGTTGCATATCTTTACAGCCTTAAAGCTAATAATGAAAGTGTGGTTGGCCACTCTTGGAATTGCTTGGATGGTGGGAAGGACACATGGTGATGGGTCTTAAAGAATGGCAATCTGACATTTCTCAATATTAATAAAGCAACTGTTTTTCTACTTTCACTTGAATTAGCTCGTATGCACATGTATTACTTAAATGCATTATGAAATGCTCAAATTTACAAGGTTATGCTGTAAGATTTTGGTCAGTTGTCATGAAATTACAGTATCTTCAAGCATTTATATAGGTTACATGGTAATTACCCTCTACTCAAGTCACCTGACTGCTTTTTGAGAATCCTATCCTTATTGCACATCCAACAGAGGGAGATTACTTATTCATTGAATAAATATGGAGATGCTGTAGGAAAGATATGTAGGTATTTGTCTCTTACAATTTACATACATATGTAAACTACAAATAATTGGTCTTTAGATTTTTGCCTTCATTTAAAGGGCTTTGAACAGATTTGGTTACTGGGATGGCTGGCTGCCTTAGTTTCATGTTTTTAAATGCAGCATACATGCCCAGAACACTATCATCCTTTAAATAAATGAATATAATTGGCAAAACCACCCAATTATCCTTTTAATTAAAAGATTATGCAGGGGTGTATGTGCTCTAGAGAATGGATTTTAATAATCTAAACTTTACTTCTACTCAATTCATGCTTTACCTTAAATTCTTCCTTTTCTCTAAGTGAGGTTAAGTTACTCAGTTTCAAAGTAAATCTCAGATTTATGGTCTTGTGAAACAAACAGGACTTGTGATTTAAACAGTTAAGCATACTACTTTTTCCTTGCCTGTTGCAAAATATATTTACCATTTCTGTATACTAGGAAATGTATTTTCCAACACTCAGCGTACCTCTACGTAACATTGAAGCTTACCCTTTGAGCCTGAAATTCTTCTAGCATCTGTTTTGGGTCAAGGCAAAAGTGTCCCTAAGTTAATTGTAGCTATTGTTCATCTCAATGTATTGCTCAATTTTCATTTTAATGGTAAGAATCTATTGGGAATATTGGAAGCTTTTGTATGTACTGGGTTCTTCACTTACCTAACTTCCAGCCCATAACATTAGGTCAAGTCTCACTTGTGCTCAACTTTTATTCATTTTATCCTATGACTTGTCTCCAGGACTAGTGGTCATTCCATTGATGTGTGATTTAGTAGGCTTAGGGGAAGACCTGCTAAACGAACTGTCCCTCACTCTCTTATTGACTGGAACAAGAAGAGCAAGGGAAATCAACAGGAGAATTTCTCCTGTTGACAGTATAGTATGGATTAGGCATGTGACATTTTAACCATATAAGTTAGTTCATTACACACTTACACCTTGTGGTAAGCTCCATTAATTTATACTGCTAACTCAAATTGCATAGCTTAAATTTACTTTTCCCCATAAGGTAGCCCTGTCCTATATTTCAGTCCTGTTAAGCATTCTGTTTGAAAATGGAAAGATCACATTAGCCTTCTTTAGTGGTTTGGAGGACAACAACTGAGTACTCCTGGGGTCAGCTAAAAGTTTTGTTTCAAAACAAAATGAAGTGGAGGAGACTTGTAGATGATATATGCTTCATTGGGAGTACAAGGGTTGAAGTGGTACTTCTGCTGTATCTGCTTATCAGATCAAACAAACCTGAGATGTTTGATTTAGAGTTGCTCTGTTACTATTCAAGATGAAATGACTACCCTACCTTTCTGATCAGCTAAAGTAAGCCTTGCTTTAGCATCTCTGTAGCATAAGATCATCTCTTGCAGTGGTTAAACCACAGCACTGCAGATAGCATTTATAATAGTAAATGACAAACTTGCCTGCTATTCCAGTAAAAAATGTACCAAAAGTGCAGAATGCTTACCCTGTTAACTGAATGCTTTTTAAAATAAATAGGTCATATTATACACTTACGGTAGCTGTATCCAGATGTAGGCATATGCCCAGAGAGGGAAATAAAGAACCAGTGCAAGTGATTTATAAAACAGGCATCAACTTATTTTCTGAAATACCAAGCCATTATACTGCCATCCTTACTTCAGATAGAACTTAATCAAATTAGTTATTTTTATTTACATACCTTAAATATTAAGGCACATGGAAGAGTGGCATAGTTTGAGTAGCTAGAAAGAGTAAAGAGATATTTACTAGCAAGCATTGTCAACCTATGATAAGAGTGGCACAGCATCCTGCTATGGGTTAGTGGTGCAATAAACTACTATGCATTTTTAGCTAGAGGAAAAAGTCAAGTATCTATGCATATGTAGGTAACACAAGATAACTTATTCTCTCAACAGTCTGCTAGGTAGGAATGCATAGAACATAATAGGCCATGCCTCACCCCGTTTGTAAGTAGGGATCCAATGTAAGTCAGATCCATGTAACCCAGGGACTGCCTGTACATTCAAATGTAAGTACAATATTCTAATTGATTTATTGTCAAATGAGTAAGTAAACTAAGTAATGGGATGATGCAACACTTATTTTTTATGTCTGACTTTATAAGCAGGTAGTTTTAGGGAACATGCAAGACAAATCTGACTCCTGAAAGATACAGTAGTCTAGAAAACATTGGGAACTACTGCTCTAGTGCTCATTTTCTTCTGCTTCTCAAGGAAGGAATGAGTTCATAAACAGTAACACTGAACAATGTCATTATCTGAGCAAGAGTGTTCTATATTTATCCATTTCTACTCATGTTTTATAAAGAGGCTGGTGACTTGAATTTAAAATTAAATTAAATCTAGTCATGTAAAATACAGTACTATCATCCTTGGACATTTCCCACAAAACTTGCTAAAACCTGTGTAAGGGTTTGGCCCCAAAGAAATATATATTGCATGGATGTAATTTTATTAACCATACCACAAACCTTAATTTAATTCTTACTATAACGTTAATCATTTCTCTTTGAAAACTATGACTTGAGCTGGAAAAGAAGATTGTGAGTTTGTTGCCCTCTCAGACGATCTCAATTATTTCATAGCTCTTCCCTCTAAAGAGCATCATTGGTTTAGCCAGTCTACTGCAGAATAAGACACTTTAAATGTTCCAGCATAATGCTCCTTTTCTATTTTAAATGCTCTTGATTCTGCAGACGTAATGAAAGTGCTTTGACAGCCCTTCAATCAGCATTTAAGTAATTTACTTCAGTTACATGCCTATAGATACTCTTATTACACATTTAGTACTAAATCAAGAAAAAGTTATCAAGAGCAGCCATAGCTCTTAACTTCAGCTAAAGGAGAGTATGTCTCTTTTCTTAGAAATACAGTTTAGAATGCATACTTCCTATCCAAAGAATCTTGTCTTTTCCTAACTTCACCATTCAATTTATATAATTATACAATCATTAAAGAACTTCCATTTATGCATTAAATTATGGTCTGGAAACCACTTGACTGGGATTTTTCGCAGGAAAATGTGAGTTACATATTCTAAGGTTGTTAAAATTCAATGGGAATTGGACATCAACCTCATGGTTCTGTGAAAAATCCTAGCTTAAATTGCTCAAAGCTGTTAAAATATTTTGAGTAGTTTCTACAAGTATCTTTTTCACAAATGACAGATGTCTTTTTAGACCAAAATATTTTTTCTATTAGTGTTGGTTAATCAGTTGAAACAAGCTACATGTCATGAGAATTCATTTATTTGATTAAAAGAGGTAGGTGTATTGAGACAAATGCACAGGGCTACATCAACTTTGTAGTTACAAGTAGTTTTAGTAATCCTGATTCATAGAATCAAGGCAGGTCTTTTTCTTTTAAAAAAGGGTGTGCTTACAATATGGCCACTATATTCTTATAAGTAGGTCTCTAAGCTGCCATTCTATTTGAGAGAAATGTCTGAACTTAAACTATAAACTCCAGCCTGCAATATGCTAGTGTTGCATTTTGATTAAAAAACTTTTCCCCTTTTGCTATCAAGGAAGATCTTGGCATAATTGCATCAATCAAGATATAGCAGTGAATATTAGCCTATGCATGATTCAGAGGCTGGTTGCGCTACTCAGTTACAAATGCAACTGTATAGGCCTGTAAGCAAGACATCCTTGTTTAAAAATAAGAATTGTTTTTTTCTGAATTTCATTTTACATAGATTAAAATCTATTCTTGCATCATTCCATATCTGACAGAAAATGCAATAAGTCTTTTGTACATTATTTCCAGTAGTAACAGAGAAAATACAATTATTCCACATATTAAACTGAATGCCAAACGAGGACCCCAGTGAGTATAGATTTGGCTCACAAACACTGGGCCCAGTATACGTGCTCCGCTTCCAGAGGCAGTTAACCAGCCCATATAGACACCCTGAAAAAAAAAAAGGAAGAACTATGACTAAACAAAACCTTAATTTTCAGTGGTTATTCTAATGCAAAATTTATAAAAATCATTATGAAAAGCCACTTTCTGGACTATTAACCTATGAACATTGTTTTTAAGCAATACAATGAGTCAATCAAATGGCTTGAGTACACTGCATCTTATGGAAGTATTTATTTATATTGCAGCACAGCTAGTTCACTGCTTTAAGAGTAATGCCCATTGTGTTTTATCCTACAGTGATACAAGAGAAAGACAAGTTCCTGGGGAAAGATCTATTTTATAACAAGATGCAATAGATAGATACTAAAACAAGAGAAGCTACAGATACAAGAAGCAAATTACGTATATTAAGTAGCTATCTAAATCTACCCCTTTCTGATAGCATGGACATATATCCATATACATATTTAGTCTTTATATTGCTTCACTAGTATGAATAACATTCCCCATAACTGATTAACATTGAATTCAATTATAACAATGTGTCATACACATTCAAATATCACAAGTATAAGAAACTTTTTGGCTCAGACTGAAGTTCTCCCCTTGCAATGTAATTTTGTGTGTGTGAAAGGACTTGTATTAACTAAAAAACAGTTAAGATCACTTAAGACTTTCCTACTGCAGAATGCCTTTGTTGTTGGCAAAAGTAGGAAACTCTTCCTACATCTATAGCTGCCCAAATGAAAAGTAGCCACCTCCCTCAGTGTTAAGGAAAATATTGCTATATTTGCAAGGTAGGGATGTGACTGGGAATCAGCCATGTGGGAGTTGGGAGCTGGCCCCACCGTATAGAGGCAGGCAGGCAGGAGCAGAAGCTGCCTCCCCCCGTGCTTGAGACTGCCAGCAGTCCCAAGTAAAGAGGTCGTGCGCAGCACCAGCACCCTCAAATGCAGAGGGTTGGGGGGCTGGGAGCAGAAGCCTGCCGACCTGTGATTGGGGCTGGTGGCTCCCCCTGTCTGGGGAAGCTGGCAGACCCAAATGTAGGGAACTAGCAGCCAGCAGCTTTAAGCATGCAGAGGGAGAAGGGGGAAGCACAAACTGTCCCCCGCTCCACTCTAGGGGTTGGGGCTGGCAGTAGGGGGAGGGATGGGCAAGACCAAGAGCAGGATCCCACTTAATCAGTTAACCAGGATTTTACATCCCTACCGTAGGATACTACCACACTGCAATTAAAACAGTTTTTTTGGTTTTTTTTAAATCAGATGTATTAGAATTCTGACTATCAATCATGGGCAGTAAGAAGGAACTATGAAGGCTGGGGCAACTTAGCTCTTTAAACCACCATGCAGCAGGACTGGAGTGCTCAGGTTACACACATCACACCCACAGGTACTACTCAAACAAATCTGACCAATGCCTGGGCTGTGTACACACCTGTAGTGTAAATGGGATGTGCAATCACTCGAACTGAAAACATCAAACTTGCCAATCTTATTAAACTACATTTTCTATCCATCTAATTCTCAAAAAGCCAACAGGATATACAACTATCATTCTGTCTCCTAGCCTCTCTCCCATTCATAGACAAAACTGCACCTGGCAACATCACAGTGACTTCACAATGTTCAAACCAGAGTATATAATATTAATCTTTCAAGTGTAAGCACGAGTGTAGAAAAGTCAGTTGTTACTTTTACATGTTTGATAATGGTTTGAAATGGCACAACGGAAGTCTAATAAGTTTGACTTTGCATACCTGTACCTTCGTTAATTAGATTTACATGGAGACAAACATCCTGCGCGTGCGCACACAAGCTAGATATAGCTAGTTCTATATCTAGCTCTGTTTAATTCTATTTTCTACATTGTTAAGCACAATGAATCCTTAGTTTATTTAGTAAAACATGTTTGTTATGTGGAAGTAAATAATACTTACATACAGTTAGGAAGAAAAAAGAAAGGTCTTATTTACAGGATGACACACCATATCATGGAAACCAGTAATTCTGTAAATAGCTTAAGGGCCATCTCAGGTAACTTCTAAACACAAACACTGTGGCTACGTCTACACTGGCCCCTTTTCCGGAAGGGGCATGTAAATTTCACCAGTCGTCGTAGGGAAATCCGCGGGGGATTTAAATATCCCCCGCGGCATTTAAATAAAAATGTCCGCCGCTTTTTTCCGGCTTTTAAAAAAGCCGGAAAAGAGCGTCTAGACTGGCCCCGATCCTCCGGAAAAAGTGCCCTTTTCCGGAGGCTCTTATTCCTACTTTGAATTCCTCTTATTCAAAGTAGGAATAAGAGCCTCCGGAAAAGGGCACTTTTTCCGGAGGATCGGGGCCAGTCTAGATGCTCTTTTCCGGCTTTTTTAAAAGCCGGAAAAAAGCGGCGGACATTTTTATTTAAATGCCGCGGGGGATATTTAAATCCCCCGCGGATTTCCCTACGACGACTGGTGAAATTTACATGCCCCTTCCGGAAAAGGGGCCAGTGTAGACGTAGCCTGTCTGTAAGGACGTTAGCAACTAACTGACTAAAAGATAAGCAGGAGCTTATCGATTAGCACCATCAATTAATCACATCCCCCCCAGCTGCCGCTCTGCATTGTACAGCTGAGAGAAGCTAGTGCAGAAAGGCAGTGAGTCAATCCCTCCTTCATGCCTTTCTTTTCATTCACTCCCCCTCCCCCCTACATACAGATACCAGCTACCACTCTGAATTGCACAACCTAGGGAAGCTACAAGTGAAGGCATTGAGTCAGTCTCTGCTCCACACGTTTCTTTTCATTCAGCCTGGTGTGTGTGGGTGGTGATGAATAAAAAGATATGCATAGAACAGGGACCAACTCAGACAAAGCCTTTTCAAGCAGCTTCCTTAGGCTGTGCAATGCAGCGTGGCAGCTGGGGAGATTATGCTGTGAACCCGCACTAGCCAGACTCAGCGCTGGGACTGCATATCCTTATTAACTAGTTGACAGAAAATCTGTCAGTTAATCGATTAGGAAAGTAATTGCATTTTAACATCCCTAATAGTCTGATGTTGAGGGTAAAGTGAGTTTACAAGATTTTTGGATGTATACTCAAAGCAATATAAAGAAAGAGCAAAGAGATGGTGCAAGTTAAGCCTCCCAAATCTATGACTCTGGACTGGAAACATCTGGACCAGAGAGTCCCAGCATGTGGCCACTGGGGTGTCCCGGTCTGGGGATCTCTGGCCAACTCAGTAGCAGAGGGGCTGGACAGGGGATGGAGAGTACTGGTCCAGGAATCATCAGTTGCACTGGCAGCAGAGGGGCGAATGGTGGCTGGGGAGTCCAGCCACAGGGATCCCTGGTCAGATGTCAGAAGAGGGGCCAGGAGGAGTGGGGCCAGTGATCCATGGCCACAGCAGCATGACTGTCGGTGGTTGGGGATCCCTGGGGCCGGAGATCCCCAGCCACGCCAGCAGCAGTGAAGCTGGCTGCAACTGGGGATCCACGGCCACACTGGCTGTAGCGGGGCCAGCAGTAGCTGCAGAGCACCACAGCTGGGGATCCCTGGCCATGTCGACAGCAGTGCAGCCAGTGGCAGCTAGGGAGCCCTCCTGCAGGGATCCTCAGCCAAGCTGTCAACAGCAAGGCTGATGGAGGCCAGCAATTCCCGGCCGCACCCACAACAGTGGGGCCTGAGGCAGCTGTGGGTCCCCTGGGGCGGGGCCAGCTGCAGGGGCCCTCCCCTGGTCAGGCAAAAATCCCTCTTTCGGAACCTGTCAGGTCCTGAGGGTGCCAGACCAGGGATGTCCAACCTCTATTACCTCTGCTAAGAGCATTTGCAAGACCATTACTGGAATAATGGGTCCAATTGTGGTATCTAATTTTTCAACATTCTTTTTTGAAATGAGAAGAAGGCTCAAGAGCCAGAAGAATTATTAAGGGAAATATTAGGAGACAGGAAACTTGTCTTACAGTAAAGGCAAGAAACTTGATTTATTTAGCTAAACAACAATGAGGAAAAGATTTCTGACAACAGAAGGCTTTTCAATCTAGCAAACAAAAAGGCTAATGTCTAGAAGATGACACTAAATAACGAAAGGCAAATTTTTAACAGTCAAGATAATCAAAGGAACAGATTATCTATGGAGCTGTTGATCACTTATTACTATAATCTAAACATTCCTACCTGGACTTGGACCCCACTGTGCCAGATGCTACACAAACTAGGGATGTTAGATAGCAATTAATTGAATATTTGCATAACTGCAACAAATATTATTTGTTACAGAACTATTTGACAGTCCCTGGGCAGGGAGGAGGGGTGGGACTGGAAGCCAGTGCACTCCTGGATCCTCTCCTGTTGTTTCAGAGGCAGCAGTGCAGGGTGGCAGGTGGGAGCCTTTCTTCAGGGGGAGCCAGTTTATAAACCAGCTCCCCATGGAGACTGGCTCCCAGGGAGCAACCTCTATCTGTGGCTAGCCCAGGCCTGCTGCGAACAGAGGATGCGCCGTGGAAACCTCCCTTACCCCAATCCCTGCTGCTGAGAGAGGCAGCAGTAATGGTGGGGGAGTGGGAGGAGAGAGAGGAACTCCCACCTTGCACCAGCTCCTGCCTGCTCCTCACCCCGTCTCTGTGGGAGGTAGCAAGGGAGGGGGCAAGTGCCTCTGCAGAGCCGACAAGCGATTCCACACATATCTGCTCCTGCCTCCCCGGCCCTGCTGCCTCAGATAGCAAAGCAGAAGTGTGTGTGTGGTGGGAGAAGCGGCTTGTGTCAGCTGATACACGTGGGGAGCTGGCTTGAAAGCCAGCTTCCTGCATGTACCAGTTCCTACCTCCTCCCCACTTGCTGCCTCTGATACAGAGGCAGCGGGGAGGGGATGCATGCAGAGATTCACTGATAAACCAGGCTTATTGATTAATCTGATATTCAGCTATACTGTGACATCCCTAACAAAAACTAGACTGATGCTATTTTTAAAAATATGCGCTAATTCAACCACAAGATAATGGTCTGATACAGGAATTGTCATATGAAATTCTGAATCATGAGATATGCAAGTTAGATCATTCTTGTTTATCAAAAAAAAATTCCCCAACTTTGCTTTAAAAAAGGTTACTTTTAGCAAATGTTTTAAGGGAGTCGGCTGAAAAAGAGCTTCAAAAAGTAGAAAGGGACCACATTTATTGCTTTCAAATACCTGAAAATATAAGAGAATTCATTTGATAACCAACAAAGTAGTTTTGATCTAAAGAGCAATGAAACAACTTATGCCATCAAATATACATGTTACAGTAACAGCAACATCTAAACAAATTCCCTAGTTTTCACGCTTACCTGAGGCTTTGGTCCTAGAATTTTTGAGTATAAAGTATAGGACATGACATTGCAAACTGGATAGCCCAATCCTATCAGTATATCAGAGGTGATGTATTGTGCCAGGTAAATCAATGGAGTGTACAGGCACCAAGGCTGCACAACAGAACATCCTACTGGTTCTACTGTGTGATTAGATGGTAGTTGTGTTTCGAGTTTCCAGAAAGGTGTAATCATTTCATTGAAGGTGATTCTGGGAATGGTGTTATTCTTAATATCTGGAAATTAAGAAATACCATTTTAAAAAGATGATAATGAAATGTTCAGAGTACAGGTTAGCATTATTCATAATTATACCTTCCCACTGGATATTTGGTAATTGTTTTCCCCAGGGTAACAGGATGAAGAATCCAACCAAGACGATCAGTAGGCCTCCAAAGAGTACAGCACGCTCACCAGTCCTATTGAATAATTAAAACTATATTTAAATAATACATATTGACCACCAAATATTGCTTTTTAAAGCAATATCTAAAAATCTACACAAATACAAATCCTATACAACTTATTCATGTGAATATTTCCAATTATTTCAGTGGAACCATTTGGTTAAAATCATTTGGCATATTTACTCTAGAGCACCTTTTTCTTTTGGAGGCCCCTCAAACATGCTATAAAACTCCATGGCCCACCCGTGCCACAGCTATTTCCTGCATATAAAAGCCAAAGTCAGCATTAGCAGATAGCAAGCAGGAGAACTGCCTGGGGCCACATGCTGCAGGATATCCAGCGAAGCCAAGCTGCTCAGGCTTCAGATTTAGCCAAGGTGGCTGAGTTCAGGGCCCCAGGCTTCAGCCCTACACAGCAAGGCTTAGGCTTTCTGTCATGGGCCCCAATGAGTCTAATACTGGTCCTTATTGGCACATCCCCTGAAACCTGCTTACAGGCCCTAAGGCCTGGTCTACACTAGGGGTAAATTCAAATTAGGATATGCAACTTCAGCTACATTAATTGCATAGCTCAATTTGAAGCATCTTAACTCTAATTTTGGCGCTGTCCACATGGTGGGAAGTCAAAGGGAGCACATTCTCCCTTCAACTTCCTTTACTCCTGGTAGAAGAGAAACTACTGGCATCAACGGGAACACCCGCTCAGTTAAAATTAGCGTGTCTTCACTAGTCCCGCTAATTCAAACCCTGGAAGATCGTTTCGACTGTTTCAATCTTATCTGTAGCGTAGATGTGGTCTTAGGGAATCCTGGACCCCTAAGTGAGAACCACTTTTCTACGTATTTGAAAACCTCTCAGTTTTCTCTTATGTAAAGCTGTTCTTAAAAGAACAACTATCAATTTGGGTAGGTCACAAAGTAACTGGCTCAGTTTGCAGCAAGGAAACTATAAGGATAGTTAAACAATGGAACAAGTTATCTAGGCAGCTTGTGGAATTCCAGTTCTTTGAGGTGTTTAAGAACAAGTTAGACAAGCAACTATCAGGGATGTTCTAGGTATACTTATTCCTACTTCGTGGCAGGAGAATGAAGTAGGTGATACTGAAGTTCTCTTGTAGCTCTTCATTTCTTACATTTGCTAAAATAAGGTGAGTAGAATTTGATTCAGATAATGAAGACCTGATCTGAAGTTCTCCAGAATTTTGAAAAGAAAAACATTTTCCTGTCTGTTTACATTAAGGTAAACAAGAGCAAAAACCTGATGAGCGACTTACTTCTTAGAAACTACTTTAACCACCATGAAGACAATGACTGATTCAATGCCAATTGCACCAAGGATTATTCCATTATAAAAAACTGCTTCTTTCCTGGTCCAAGAATACATATCCATTGTCAATGGAGTAGCTATGCTAGGCAGGGAAAAAATAAGAGACATTTACCCATTTTAATATACAAGAGTTTTAATGTAAAACGGGTGTACATTAAATCATCTTATTTTGTCATGTACCTATGAAAGCCACCTATTAAGTACTGACTTGTCCTTTTAAAAAAATGCATGTTTATACACAGCAGTCGCATCTCTTAGCTAGATACTTTAATCCTAAAGGCTGACCAAGTACTTCACTTCAATCACTATTGAAACAAGTCTGAAGTGGAACACACTAGCCATTTACAGGGCTACACAATTTCTAGGACAGAAAGTAAAGGACAATGTATTGTTTCCCTTTCAGATTATTCCTTCACAAGTTTTTCACTTTCAGAGATTTGATACATAGAATTGCCTCTATTGAAATCTGATGTGGATATTGCAGTTTACATCTCAACTCATTTAAGGAGCACAATGTGATCATCAACAACCACAAATGTAGACCCAAAGGCTGTGTCTAGACTACATCCCTCTTTTGACAGAGGGATGTAAATTAGACACTTTGAAATTGCAAATTAAGCAGGGATTTAAATATCCCGCACTTCATTTGCATAATTGTAATGGCGCTCTTTCTAAAGTAAAACGGCAATCTAGACGCAGTTCTGTCAAAAATGGCAGGCTTTTTGAGTACAGGATCTTTTGAAAAAGCCTACCGTTTTCGACAGAACTGCGTGTAGACTGCGGTTTTACTTTCGAAATGGCACTTTTTCAAAAGAGCACCATTATGCAATTATGCAAATGAAGCATGGGATATTTAAATCCCCACTTCATTTGCAATTTCGTAGTGTCTAATTTACATCCCTCTGTCGAAAGACACAGCCAAATTCACTCAAAAGTTATACAAGGAAAAGTTATATTTAAAAAATGTACTCAACAGTTATATTCAGGGCTCGACAAATTGCTCGACAAATGTCAGCTGGTCACCCTGTTCACTGGCACTGTGCGCATGCACAGTGCCAGTCTAGCACATGCACGCTATGGGGCTGGCGAGTAGATCTTGCCGTGGTTCATCGAGCCCTGGTTATACGATATGCAAAATTAATTGCCATACATAATGAAAAATATAGTACCACTCAATTTTAATTATTGTCTTGTTTATTTAAGTTGAGATCATGCTTATTAATATTTAAGTTATGGTAATGAAAGCAACTGAAAAGCGTATGAACACTTTGTCTTCAAAGCACTTTATAAACATTAATTAATAACAGGAGAAAATTGGCAGACTTACGTTTCAAAGACAGCAAAAACAAACAAGATGACAAAAAAAAGAATGTTGGTTGTTACAACAGCCATCTGGTCAATGTTTCCTTGGGCAATCTGATCCACATAATCACTTTCTGTAAAGAAACATAAGAATGAACTGCAAAATTAAGAAGTTTTGCAATTCAATCAATTAGCTCCAATGTTACTCTTCGGCTACAGGTATTAACATTACACATAATGTACAACTGAGACAGTCACAGGAGAGCTTGCACACTGATCACTCATCTATTAATTAGTTCTCTTATCGAAGCTGATGGGACTATTAGTCCATAAGGCTGGCTGCCTAAGATACTAATTACCACATCAGAACAAGGCTGATAAAAAGGCAGGAAGGAAATGCCAACACAGGAGAGGGAGGAACAGGGATAGCAGAGTGTAGACCGGGGTAGGCAAAAAGGGCCTCCGTGGGCTGGATCCGGCTTGCCAAGCAGGTGGATCCAGCCCACGGAGGCTCTGCTGCTCCCCCGCCCCCAGGCCTTAATTGTCCAGGAGGCAGGAGAGCACGCAAAGCCTCCTCCTGCCCTGTCAGGAGCACATGTGCTTTGAAGTGCCACGCACTGCTTGCAGGGGAGGGAGCAGAGGCGGCTTTGCACACTCCCCTGCCCCCACACTAATCAGGGTATGGGGGCAGAGGAGCTGCGTGAAGCTTCCTTCACCCTGCCCCAGCCCTGCGAGGAGCCCGTGGCACTTCAAAGTGCCACTGGCTCCTCACAGGTCGGGAGGAGGCTTCCCGTGCTCCCCCGCCCCAGGCTCTGATTGGCCTGGGGACAGGGGAGTGTGCCAACCCTCTTCCAGGGCATGGGTACCTAGTGGAAAGATGGGGCAAAGCAGCTCCCCCACCCCCAGACCAATTATGGTCTGGGGGTGGGGCAGCCCTGCCCCTTCTGGGGTGGCCCAGAGCTACTTCAAAAATGTTTGAAGTGGCCCCCGGGCAAAAATGACTGCCCACCCCAGTCTAGACAGAGGCAGGAGACATCCATTCCCCTCAGGCCCTGGTGAGAGGGCCAAAAGCTATTTTAGCATAGTAAATAGACTGTTGCACAGGGATTGTTGTGAAAAGGATGGAAAGAAGTCAACATAGACAAACACAGTAAAGACACAACCATAGGAGGCTGCACAGTTTCTGCAAGAGATGACAGCAGAGGAGCCTTGCTCTGTGACATGAATCTTTCTGGGTTTGGTATAGATACTTTAAGAAATAAATTACTATTTTGTTAAAGAAAGTGTTGAAATTGCAATTCCTCTTGACTTACATTTAAAAAAAAATTTACACTCGAGCTAAAAGTGAGCATGATTTTGAACGAGAGTAGAAAAAGTATTTACCATTTCCTAGAAAATATGTCATACCACAAATAAGAGACATCTGTAGTAAACAAATATTAAGTAATCCTGAAAATATTGAAGATTACACTAAATAGAGAATCTGCTTCTTAATCACCTTTTCCATAGCTCCATATTCTCACAGATGAATTCCCAAGGAATAAAGAGTCCCAGCAATATCCTCCGCAATACATTTTCAACATAGCAGAAATGGTAGATTTCAAAAATGTGTTTAAATTTGATACAAGCTGATTGCTAGAACGTTTGCCTTAATCTGTTTTCATAATTTAATATAGAAAATATATGGCACTGAAATAGTTAATTACCATATAAAAGAGGTGTTTGATTAGCTGTAATTTTTCATAAAATATAATATAAAAGTGAATGGGATGTATTCACAATTTAAAAAACCCCCTCAATTCTGCCTAACAGGGTAAACAAATGCTGTTTACATGTAGGCTATGTCTAGACTGGCATGATTTTCCGGAAATGCTTTTAACGGAAAAGTTTTCCGTTAAAAGCATTTTCGGAAAAGAGAGTCTAGATTGGCAGGATGCATTTCCGCAAAAGCACTTTTTGCAGAAAAGCGTCCGTGGCCAATCTAAATGCGCTTTTCCGCAAAAAAGCCCCGATCGCCATTTTCACGATCGGGGCTTTTTTGCGGAAAAGAAATCTCTGTTGTCTACACTGGCCCTTTTGCGCAAAAGTCTTTCGGAAAAAGACTTTTGCCCGAACGGGAGCAGCATAGTATTTCCGCAAAAAGTAGTATTTCCTTACAGTAGGAAATCAGTGCTTTTGCGGAAATTCAAGTGGCCAGTGTAGATAGCTGGCAAGTTTTTCCGGAAAAGCGGCTGATTTTCCGGAAAAACTGGCTAGTCTAGACACAGCCGTATAGTACATGTTGTCTGGGAGGTAGAATTAGCAAGAATTCTACGTGAATTGGTTACCAATTTAGCTTGTGTATTATCTCTAATTTAAATCTAGATATTTAACAGATTTTCATAGGACTCGGTAGATTACAGTTTATACACAGTAAAACTGCATAATATTGCACATTACGTAAACAATAGTGGCTAGATATAGCTCATAAGAGTATCATGTGATCGGTTCAAGTAAGTAGTATAATCTCCATGTCTGTTTAACTCTGGGTTAAATGAAGAATGTACCTTAATAAAATACTCTTTATATACAATATGATAGTAAATTAAAGTAACATGAAATGTGTCACTTCACACACACAAAAAATTACCTTCTGTTTCAAAATTGATGCTTTTGGATGGTCTTCCCCCGTCATCTACTTGATGTTCTCTAAAGATTGAAAATTGTTCTCATTAGCACAATTAACCAATTCATTTCTTTTGTACCAAGTCACAATTACAAGATTTTCTAATAAATAATCTTAACCAGTCTTTGAGCTTTTAATCGCTATCTGCAGAGCTTAGATTTCATTGTAATTGATACAAGTGTGTATACCATCTAAGCTCATTTATAAGTGATCTTCTCTAAAGTTAATGTCACAGGTTTTTTTGCCTCATCTGTTTTTAAATGCATCTTGAATAGAATCTGAAAATATAAAGCCACCATATTAAAAAAACTCCAAACACTAGCAAAATATGAATTAAAGGCACCAATTCAGGAAAGCATCTCTATTCATGAAAAATGTTAACTATGTGCTCAATTTTATGACTCAGAACTGGAGACTGGCCCAACATCTTTGAATGTGCATTAGTTGTGTCTTGGTAGACCATAGAATCCTTTCTCAGGGTGCTGAGTTCAGTGATTTCAGACATTGGTTCTGTTCAGCTAAAATTGTGTAAGACTTTCTATGGTGGGTATGACCTTACAAATTCATATATATTGCCCGTACAATAGGCTAACCTATTCAAGTTAGCACATATGCACCAAAATGGCAAAATACAAAATAAAGTGATGTGTGCAGCAGAAAGGTACAGACACAGGAATAGAGATATAACCATTTAACTGGCAACCTGGCCAGGCTGAAGCACCCCCGTGCCTGCAGTATGGTGCTGTGGGCCCAGCCTCTACTTGCAGTAGGCCCAGTCAGGATGGAGAAGTCCCCCAACCCATACTGCAGGCATAGGTCCCCTCCAGCTCAGCTGGACCCACCATGGCCCCCTGCCCACAGGATCCCAGTTAAGCAGTTAAATGGTCAAACATGATATTTAACTGGTTAACTGATTAAACAGGATTTTACATCCCTAACAGGAATGTAAATGTATTTCCAGCATCCCGCTTATAACTCCATATGCTGATCTCAGTCGTCTCCAAATGCTGTGGCTACCCAAGTTATTCAAAAGTCTTTTAGCACTAAGCCTCGAGTAACTCTTCAGTACAACATGTGATGACGACCAACTATCCATACATACCTGGGGAAAAAAAGTAGCAGTACCCCACCCCTTAATATTCCCAAAGCCAAAAAGAAACAAATCTCACTGGTCTGGGTCTCGAGAAATGGATATAGACACACTCAAGGGAGCTGTACTCCCTCACGCACCAGCCCCAAGGGGCCAGATGCAGCGCCCAGCTTCCTTTGATCTAGCTCACAGCAAGGCTGTGGGCTTTCCTTTCCCCCAGAAGCAGGGCAAGCTGGCACTAGCACTCCAGCCCTATTGGGGTAGGGGCACTAAGGCAGGAAGATTGCAGCAGGACTGAAGCGCTAGGACAGGCTCACCCAACTGTGGGGAGAACGGAGAGGGAGAAAAGCCCCAAGCCTCACCACAGGCCAGGTTGTAAGTTCTCCATCCCTGACCTAGGAGACAGATGCAGAGAATTCAAAGTATTTGCAGGTCAGCAGCTATGAAGCTTAATATTTCTATATGTGTTTCAGCTATGGAGGCAAATCTCTATATGTTTTTCAAATTCAATATACTAGGTATATGGGCATTAACATCAGTAGTGTTTTGCTTTTATTGCCTTGTATCTCGCCCATACATTACTAAGCTTTGTTCACTGAAGAGTGAGATTGCATACGTCACAGAACCTAGTTACTCTGGATAATACATTAATAACATTAAGCTTTGTAAATGTTCAAGATGTAAAGATCATTACTCTAGATCTATATTACCTGAATATAGCAAAGATTAGAATAATATTGATAATTCCTAGGAGAGCTCCCAGTAGAACGGGTGCTGTGTACATGTTCACTTGGAGATTGATGATTTCCCATGTCACTCCTTTTTCTCCAATCAGAGAGAAGCAAGTCTGAAAAACTTAAAGAGAAAAGCCATTACCTCAGTAAATTCAAACATTAAAATTATTAATGCATTACCTTTAGGGAATTCAGCGCACAGTCATCTGAAGGGTACCAACAGGATCTTAACTATCTGGAAATACAGGCATGTCTGTAGAACCTGAAGTCCTCAGAAAGCCATATTCATATACTCAAACAGCAGTATGACACCAAGAATGAGGCCATCAGTTACACAAGGCCAAGAAAGGAAAATTATCTAGCTACCTATCATCCACTTATGACTCTCTATAGTTGAGCCTTATGTGCTAACTCCATCTACTCTCCCTGCTATAGGAAAGTCCAAGCCTGAAACAGGGATATCTTTTCTGCAAGATCCAGCAGAAGGGAAACATAAAACACAAAAACAAAACCCTCACTTAACAGGTGATGAGTGGGAGCAAGAGTGTGCATATATGTAAGAACTGCTCCCCTGCCTAGCCTATGATCATCAGGAAGTTGGTCGAGTGTCTACCAAAATGGAGCATGGGAAGAGAGAATGAAGCCTGTATGTGAGTATTCAGGGAGACTGCCTCTTTGCTTGTGTAATCTCTTTAATGCTTCTTTCATGGTTGATTGACAACCAGCCACAGAAAACTCACCCACAGAGATATAAGGAGATATACTAATCATGCTCAACAGCCGTAGTTTCTTAAGGTAATTGAGCAAGGTACAGTTTATAGCTACCTATGGAATGAGGTCAGGCTGGCACAGGCACTTAATACTAAACTCTCCTCTCCCTAAATAAGGTACAACTAGTTTGCCGTTGGACCAGCAGCTGGAGAAGCATTGTGGAGATGCTTCTTATTTTTTGTTGGTTTCATTTTCTGAGCAGCATCAGAGAGTCCAAAGCTACTTGGTTAATCTAGTTACATTGGTAAATTGTCACCAAAATTACAGTGAACAGTGTGTTCACAAATAATTAGACTTATTTTGGCTTGGTAATACCTGTATAGCTACTTGTGGATAAACCACAGCAGTACACTAAATTTATTCAGTTTAATATTATGACAAAATGTGCTCATTTTTGTGCACACTGCTGCTGAGGAAATTTCCACCCTCAAACTTAATGTCTGATTTTCTCCTAACAAAGAAGTGAGATGTATTTGAGACAAGAGGAAATAAAAGACACTGTACCAGGTCCTAATATGAATCCTATGGCTTGACAAGCACTGGTGTTGGCCATGGCACTAGTTCTTTCTTTAAGAGAAGTGGCACCGGAAATGTATGATCGAACTACTGCTACGATTCCTAAAAAAAAAAAAAAAAAAAAAAAATCTCTAGTCATAGTTAGTTCAATTCCCCCCTTCCCTTATATAGCAAACAAGCAGTTTACTAACAGTACCCAATGTTTCCCTCTTATATGCACCCAAAAAAGTATATAATCATTCAGGTCCACAAACAGTGTTAGCTAACTACTTGAGTTAATCATTTGGGAAGTTATTCACCTAACAACAAATTATTTTGCTTAATATAACCTAAATCTTGTCCTCTGTTAGGTAAGAAAATAAATTCATTCATCTTCAGTAGTTTAAATTCTGCTGTAATTACCTGCTCCAAATCCCACAAGGGCACGAGCAATCAGCATGTAGTATTTGTTGTGTGAAGCAGGTAAATGGACATAGGCATAAAGGCAGTTAGCAGCCACAGAAATGGCAATTGAAACTACAAGTGGTTCTCTTCTTGGCCTGTAATTGGACCATAAACCAAAGAGAGGTGAGGCTATCATTTGTCCAAGGCTGTATGAAGCAATAATCCATCCCAAGAAACTTGCATCTGCGGTCAGATCAATCTGCAGAAATAAGTAAAGTGATTTTAAGAATTATAGTGTACTGATCATATCAGCAAGAACAATTTTGGAATCAGTACCCTATAATATGAAAGATTCTGTGTTATACCTCTAACATGCAGAACTTACAGCTGAGATTCAGCATATGAAAAGAGTACCAAGAGTGAAGGACACCAAGTGTGAGCACCAAGAGAGGAGAAATTGCTTTTGTAGTTGGCTAGCCATTCACAGTCTTTGTTTAATCCTAAACTTATAGGTTAGCCACTTCTGATAGCTGCTAGAAGTGGGCCTCATCCTCCCTGGTTGAATTGACCTTGTTATCTCTAGCCTTATTCTTGACTGGTAGTCTTTTCATATGCCTGTATATTTATACGTGCCTCTGGAATTTCCATTACATGCATCTGACAAAGTGGTTTTTTGCCCACGAAAGCTTATGCTCCAATAAATGTTAGTCCATACGGTGCCACAGGACTTCTTGTTGTTTATGCAGATTCAGACTAACACAGCTACTTCTTTTTTATAAGTAAATACTGTACCACAAATGTAATTAAAATCAACATACCACTTGACAGTGCAAATTACTACTACAAAAATAAGTATCAACCATTAAAAACAAAATACATAAAGTCTGCACTGAAAGGTTATTCAAGTATGAAACAGAAAACAAATTAGTTTAAACATTACTTTTTAGCATTTGGGGAGTTAGAGAAATAAGTCCCTGGTTCATCAATGATATGTATTGTATGCGGAGTCAGCCTATATAGAGCTTGTTGAAGGAATAGGTTTTAAACTAATGTGATTTTATGTTCTAGTCAAGCAGAAAATAAAAATCATCATCATTACAATTTACAAACCTTTTGCAGATATGGCCACACTGACATAATTACAATTGAAAAACCTGCAATGTATTAAAAAACAGAAAACAGAATTGGAGTTACTGTACACTGCTATATATTATCAATAATCAAGTACTGTAGAACAGACATTATGGAGCTGATACTCCCGCTTTTTAAAAATACTGTTCCCGAACTGAAACTCCACATGGCAACCATGAATGACACACTGGATTAAACGACAGCAATTGCCTATCAGTTAGAAGTATTCTTATTTAAAATAAGAGCACCACGCTATGTAGATGTTTAAAAAAAAAAAAAGTCAAATGCATTGGACACCTAAACTGTGATCATGGTCCCAACTGAAATCTATAAATAGGTGTTTTCCCTCAATCCATATCAAGAAGTAGATCTCAAAAAACCCCAGATTTTTCTGATATCAAATTAATTTTTCATTTAGATTAAATACTTTTTTCAATCCTTCATCAATACAAGCATCAATACAAGCATCACATTACCCCACTTAGAAGTCAAAGAGATGCAGATACCAGAAACCAACCAAATTCACATATTAAGGAGTCTGGATCTAGGAACTAAGGAAGGAACTGTTCTGCAACTAAAATTAATTTTGATAGCTTAGGGGACCAAAGTATTTAAATTCCTTATGAGGACAAACATTTACACATGAATATACTTTAAAATCCAATATTTGTATTCCAGCATTGAAGATAAATCCTTTTTCTTTAATACTAACAGTTGCTATTAGCTTTTGTTTCTTTCAAATATTTGATATTTCATTTCATGACACTATCTTAGATCTGTTTTGCTATGAATTACAAACTTACCCCATATCAGTCCTAGTACAAAATTCATGTTAATTCAGTGTCATGACACCTCCCCATTGTCACAAATATGGCATGAAATCTGACTTCTTTGCAATGTATATGGAAAACAGGCAGGATACTATGTTGCAAAATTATTTTATGAAATTTAACCTTCCTTTTAATTTATTAACCGTATTTTCTCTGTTTGCAAGTGATAATTGCATCTTTATGATCTACTAGCACATTTACTCAGCGTTGCTCAGGTCCATAAGGAGAGGTTCAGGGCAGAGAGGTTGGGGTGTAGGAGTTAGGGTTGGGGAGTGGCTCTGGGCAGGGAAGTGTGTGTATATATGTGTATGTGTGTCCAGGAGGTAGCAGGGTGGGCAGGGAGGGACAAAACTCCCCTCTTTCTTCCCCCCGAAGTGAGAGCAAAGTACACAGGTCATCTGTCCTTTTCGCTCCCCAGCCAGAGTGAGGAATGTGTCAAACTGTGAACTTTCCTCTTGCTTCCTGAGGAAGGGGAACAGCCAGCAAAGTCCCTGTATGAATTTGGAGGGGCGGGGGATGGGGAGGCTAAAGGGCTGACGCAGTTCCAGATGGGGGAGGGTAGTGTGCCCCAGCCAGCCCCTTTCATGTGCCTGGTAATTCTCTTTTCTGTATGGTTTTGAGATGCAATACCATCCCATTTCCCTGGCACAACCAAACCCTTTACACTGCTTTAAATTATAAGAGGAAGCTGTATACCAAATTCGGTGGTTCTAGCTTTTAAAGTTCTTGAACAGACAGACAAGCTCTCTCAAATATATAATAGGTAAAAAAAAACAAGTCTAGTAAAGGAGCAAGAACAGTTTCAATATATAGACTTCTTAGAATTTTCAAGTCAAAGTAATACATCTATTCTACAAATAGTGTTGTAATTCTACTGCATGAATATCCAGATTACTTACCTACACTGCTGAGAAACATTGTAAGATACATAACATGAATGGACCTCCACCTACTCCTATAATGTTGTTGAGTTTCCACAACATCCCCATATCTTGAACAATAAAAGAAGAAATAATCTCATTTTGTTGTTTAGCTCTTAATGAAGAATTTCTCAGCCTAAAGGATATCAAAAGCATTTTTCACAAATTACCTCAAATAATACAAATAGGTTATACATTTTGTATCTTACACAGTTCCTAACCATTCACTAAACATTAAAACACACATCGTAAATTAGATCGATTAGTTTCTGACATAAAGCTCATCTTTTGATGAAACAGCAGCAGGCCCTAAATGGGTTCTCCTTTGCAAAAAGAAATATGTATCCTATTTTTTCAAGTGCTATTAATGATTGTTACAACAGTCTAAAAGTCACACATTTCAGCAGTACTATATACTATACATCTAATACATATCAATTGCAAAACTACACTTTTGCCCATGCTGTATTTTTCTTTTTCAAGTAAATTCACGTTCATATAAAATGCCAAACAGATCACAGTAAAAATGATTTTGGTTGGCTTATACTTAGACCCTGAATCCTGCAAGCTATTCATGTAGGTAAACTCCTTGGGAGCCCCACTTGACTCCAATGGACCTCCACATTGGCTTAAGGGTTCTTTGTGTCACTGTATAACAGATTATAGGATTAGAGCCTAAATCATGACAGCTAAATAGTCACTTTCAGTGTTATGAATTTAATAGAAAAATAAAAGAAAACCATAACAACTGAAAATTACAATTAAAAGTGAACCTGACAAGCCTATTTTAATTATTCTTAAACTTAGTGAAATACAAAATGTAAATAACCATAACTTGGGCAAAATAAGTTTAACATTCTAAGATAAAAGACCTAAATTATTATTACAGTTACATGAGCAAGAATTTATTTTTATACAATGTATGCTGACAGTATCTCTTGAAGATGTTTTTATTTTTCAGAGGCAATAATTCAGATGTATTCTCAGGATTCTTCTGAGAAATTCTCTTCTGGAAGGACAATCTCTGTTATAGGTAAGTTGACCCAGTCCACATAGTTTTTGTACTTGGTGAGGTTTTTATTTTGTTTTTGTTTTTTTAAAAAAACAATAACATCTTATGTGGAGTCCGCTGTTATAAAAGCGACTTACACGGTCATAACTTTATGCCATTTTTTCCAGCATATCTGAAGCAATACTATTCATGTGCACAGAGTGGTCATCTTCAGAAGATAACTATTACTCACTTCTGGAGAAAAGTGATTATTTAAGCTTCCGCCTTTTGTTGTGAGAGTAGAGAACGACAAAGTGCTATATAAAATACCTAGAAGAGACAACTGCAGAGAATGAGGGAGCTGTGTGCATTACTTTATCTAAATACCTAAATTTCCCTGTTTGATATCCTGCCTGACTGTATAATGTTAAATGAAAGGAGGCTGGTGGGAAGAAAGCTAAGAATAAACAAAACTGTGATAAAGATAATACCCTTAAGGGAACAATAGCAGAAGCAATTGGCAATGCACTTAGGTGGTACTGTGCCATTGAACCTAGCAAGATTTTACTTTCTCCAGGCCTTCGCTAAATTCAAAGGTGATACTAAAACCTTACAGATTCTGGCCTAGGGAAGAAGGGTGATTGAGGTGATCATCAGCAGATTCCCAGACAGGAAATTCTGGCAAAAAACACACAAAAGCAGAGACGAATGTGTCAAGGTCTCGTGCTTCTCCCAGCCTAGAGATGGAGGCAATTGGACTGAATGGAGCACTCCAAAGCTTGCAAGGAAACATTGAGGTTTAGATAGGGGAAGTATGCACACAGGCCTCTATTGTTTTTACCCTTTGCTCTGCATGCCTCCTATCTTTGGATGAATAAGCAATTTTGTCCTGAATAAATTATTTTGAGTCACTTTAATCAGCAGTTGTCACAGCCTTACAGAAGGAAAAGGGCTTACAGGTGTCAAACATATTTGTGCCTCTCACATTAATGCAGTTGGGAAACAAGGGGGTTACCATCCAAACTGCCAGTTTCACAGTGGCTGGACAAGTGACTTGGACTTTTCAGCTTAGATAAGAGGAGACTAAGGGGGATATGACAGAGGTCTAAAAATAATGACTGGTGTGGAAAAAGTGAATAAAGAAAAGTAAGAACGGGGGGGGGGGGGGCACCAATTGAAATTAATGGGCAGCAGGTTTAAAACAAACAAAAAGAAGTTTTTCTTCACTCAGCACACAGTTAACCTCTGGAATTCCGTTGCCAGAGGATATGGTGAAGGCTATGACTTCAACAGGGTTCAAAAAAAGAGCTAGACAGATTCATGGAGGTTAGGTCCACCAATGGTTATTAGCCAAGATGGGTAGGAATAGTGTCCCTAGCCTCTGTTTCTCTGGAGGTGGGTGACAGGGGAGGAATCATGTGAGGATTACCTGTTGTGTTCCCTCCCTCTGGGGCATCTGGTATTGGCCACTGTCAGCAGACAGGATACTGGGCTGGATGGACTATTGGTCTGACCCAGTATGGCCATTCTTATGTGTTCCACTCTTGAGAAATATGCAGGAAGCCAAGCCCAAATTACAGATTCTACTCAGACTCAAGACCACCCATCCCAATCCTTTCCTCACCAAACATGAGTCAGCATAACTGTCAGCTTTGCCTGCCTCAGGGATTGTGGTGGTGTCTGTGTATATGACAGAGGGAAAGCGGTGTGCCCTGCTTCTGCTGTACCTAGCTCGTAATGTGTGTTGTGGGGTAAGGAATGTTGTGCCTCCTTACACTCATTCCACTGCACACACAGTACAGTGAAGTGGAAGAAGCAGTTAGCACAGGGCATGCAACTATGGCTATGGAGAAATCACAGGCAAGAGACGGCAAGCCAAACTGACCCTGAATACCTTGGGTTGTTGCAGTCAACTGACACCTGGATCCCATCAGATTTAGGTCAGGTTGCAGGACTCTACTGAGGACCACAGGCCTAAAAGACTGAAAGCGGTCTAGAGTGCAGCTTGTCCTTTAACAATGACAACAACTATGACAGTAGTTGGGATGTTAAATTTAGATGAATTAACTAATTGAATAGTCAAAGGGATTTCCATTGATTATTCGATTAGTTGATAAGGGAGCCTCTGGCAAACCTCTTGCTGCAGTTCAAAAGCAGAAGACCTGCAGGGAGCACGGAACTCCCCTACTGGCCTCCTTCTGAGGTACGTCAACCTTTGATAGGTACATTTCAAAAGCAGATGCCCCACAGGGAGGTGGGGTGCCTGTAGGGCTTCCTTTTGAAATGTAGGAGAGCACAGGGTTCTTGTCCATTTCAAAGGCTCAGGCACTGCAGGGAGTACACATACTCCCTGTGGGGCTTCTGCTTTTGAAATGTATAAGAGCCCTGCAGAATCGCAGCAAAACTGGAGTGAGCGGAGACAGCTTCAGTCCCACCTCGCACCATTTCCCACTGTGCCTCTACCTAACCTGTCCCCTGCAGAGATAGTAGTGGGGGGAACCTGCTTTTAAGCCAGCTCCCCCCAGCACCAGCTACCCTCCCTCTTTGATAGAGGCAGCAAGGGAATGGGAGGGGGGGAGGGACTAGTCACTTCACTAGTTGACTATCTGATAAGCTTATGTTTATCAGACAGTTGACTAGTTGCTTAGATCCCTAGACAGTAGAGTTTTATTCTTTGGCATCTACACTGAGACCCAACTATTTAAGAGCAGCCACTTTAAGAGTGTAATTTTCATTCACCATCAACTTGGTGAGCTAGAGTCAACAGAGGGTGATGGGGCCATTCTCCAGTCTGCCCAGGTGAATAAGTGAAGGGAGACATCACTGGTGTCACATCCTACAGACAGTCAAAACGCAGCGGAGCAGGCTCTGAGGTTCACCAGCGGGCTCCACTTGGTGGGGCTTTAATTTATCCCGGGTAGGCGCCTTGATCTCGCCTCCTCTTTGACTGTGTCAAAGAGCCCAGCTGCTGTGCTAGCCCCCAAATGCCACCCCCCGGGACTGCTCGCAGCAAACGGGCTCATTCCCCCCAGGGGCGGGGCCCTGGCTGCCGACTGGGCAAATCTCTGGCACCCGAACGCGCGCCCCGGCTCTGCCC